ACAAAACCTTTCGACATGAAGATGTGTTTTGGTGCAGATAATGTCTTATTTCGAGGCTGCACCATGGGTGCCCGTCCGCACCCGTTATATGGATATACGCTGATGGCGATTCGCCGATGGATCTAAATACCCCGGGGAATCCAAGTAGCACCAAAGTTGTCAGCGTGAGAAAACAAACGTACTGCATGCTAGAAATTAAGTCCGGGTTGCAATAAACGGGAGCTTCCTTTAAGCACATAAGCGTGAATATACAACTACGTGTCGGACTTGGTATGCTAATGAAGTTGGGCTGTGAAGCGCCTCCCAAATTCTCTGTTTATGTTTTTGTTTATTTATTTGGCAGACAAAACTTGGATTGGAGACAACTCTTGTGGGAAATTGCAATGTAGCCATGCGGCGTCTTCTGTTTGTCTGGGAGGCGGAGGCTGCTTTACGGCATCTGGCTGTCGTGCGTGTCGGTGTACTTGAAGAAGGCTGTGTATAATAGTCCATAATATTGATACCACAGGGATGGAATATCTAATTTAGATACCACTTTTAGTATCGATTTATATCTGGGTATCGATTTTTTTGACAACACTAATACAAACACGCCATTGGGCGTTGAGGACTATAACATTGTTGCTGCCATATTGGGTGGGTTCCTCACTCTCCAAAGCCAACTGGAGTTAACAGGGTGAGCAGCTATGCCCATTTTTGTGCAGCCAACAGTTGCAACAACTGGCATCCTCTTGAAAACATCACAGGATTACTATTGACTTTTCTAGCCTATCTGTTCAGATTTTCTATTTTACATTTATTGTGCTTTATTCTATTTTATTATGCCACACCTTATGTCTGAAAAAGCATATTAAAATATTCTTTACTTTAACACCTTCCTCAGCAGACATTAATGCACTGGAGCAAATAGGAACCCGTCCAAGATGGCGGCCTGCTGCTGCACCAGTTGTTTGTGCGTCCAGTGTTATCTCGAGATCTTGTTGTTCCGTCAGAGTGATGACGGAAAAAAAATGTTGCCTCCTATTGGGTGGAGTTTGAATTGCACCACACAGAAGAAATGCAGTAAATATTTGTATGTACATTCTCCAAAAAGTAATCGATACACTGCTTTTGAATATCAATTCAGCGTCAAAAAAGAAAATACTGCAGGATTTCAGTGTGTCGATATTTTCTTTTCCCTAATTCAGCTTTCATTATTACTGTAACCAGGAATTCTGAGTGTTTTTACTGAATAAACTTTAAAAACAAAGCATTTTATTAACATAACTTTATTCTAAATAGTATTTCTCCATTTAGTAAAAAGTAGTTTTTCTTTTTCTCTGTAAAAAGTATGTTTTGCCTTTTTTCTTGACATTTAAACTTTAAGCTCAACTCTGTTTGCATCTTCTCGATTGTTCTAACGCGCCTAATGTTATTTTTGTTTGACCTGACGGGGAAGGGAAAATAAAAGAATAGAATAGATTTTAACACGTAAGACGCACATCTGCCAAGAAAAAAAAGGCAAAACCGCTGTTTTGTGCAGACAAGTGCCTCAAAAATAGCGCGGGGATTCCTGGGGAGAAGCAGCCTGTAATTCACCGAGGAGCCTATATAGTGATTACATCCCATGTAAAAAATGCAAACACACACACCACCCACTTGTGCTGCCTCTGTGGCAACACTTCCTGTCAAAGCAAAAGCTAAAAAAAGAAAAACCCAAAAATTTAAAGCAACAAAATTAACCCTTATAAGTAGAAAATGTGGTTTTGTGTGTACTAAAGGCAGATTTACAATGGTAAAAATTCAATTTGACAGGAAAAAATGTCATCATGAGGTCAAGTAATATTTATGCCAGTGACGGCTGAGGGAAAGACGATCAAACGCACCAGCACCCTCCTCTCCTCAACCAGTTCCAATTCCAGCAGCAGCTCAACTCCTGTAGGTCACGAGGCCATCATGAGCACCCATACCAGATCCCCCGCCCTTCCCTGAACCATGGCAACCACATCACATGACCACCTCCTGTGACCAACAACCACAGACAAGCTGAGCCATCAAACAGGGTATCTGCAGGTTTAAGGGAGCCAAATTTAAGACTTTTTAAGACCTTTTTTAAGGCCACTTTGACCAAATGTAAGCTATTTTTAAAATTAAATTTAAGCTATAATTTCCAGCTATTGCTTGGAACCGGTGCTAACCACGTCGCAAACGTGGGATTAGCCATCCAGTTACCATTAAACTTGCACTTCCCCATGGCGCAAGCTCCCACTAGCTTAACCAGCTAATGTGCTCATCTAAAAATTGCCCCCTTTCACAACCAACTGCAAGTGTACGGTTCCGCTTATGCAAACATCGTACACAAAAAATGCTGAACACTAACTATGGGGCGACGGTGGCACAGGAGTTAAGTGCTCGCCTCGCAATCGGAAGGTCGCAGGTTCGAGACCCGCTCAGTCTGTCTCTGTCGTTGTGTCCTTGGGCAAGACACTTAACCCACATTGCCTGCTGGTGGTGGTCAGAGGGACCGGTGGCGCCTGTGCTCGGCAGCCTCGCCTCTGTCAGTGCGCCCCAGGGCAGCTGTGGCTACATTGTAGCTCATCCCCACCAGTGTGTGAATGGGTGATTGACTGATTGTGTTGTAAAGCGCCTTGGGGGGTTCCAGGACTCTAGAAGGTGCTATATCAAATACAGGCCATTTACCATTTTAGAAATTCACCAAAATTTTATAGAAATAAAAGTATCTTGTTTATTGGGTCATTTAAGACATTTGGAAACCATATTTAAGGATTATTTGTAATTTTTAAGGCCTTAAATTTGGAAAAGCCAATTTAACACTTTTTAAGGACCTGCGGATACGCTGATCAAACCTGAGCTTCCCTGATTCACTATTGGCTGCAATCTTCAAGGACTGAAACTTTCAAACGGGCAAATAAAAAAAAGTCTTTGGAATGTGGAAACGGCACAATTCCAAAACACAAATGTTCGTAGCAACCTTTAAAGGTGCAGTATGTAAGAATTTTTTGAGAATTTTACAGCGAGAAAACCCCAAAAGTCTAATGTTTCGGTCATTTTGGAAAGAAGGTTATTCCACATCCAGCTGGCTGTGGGGATTGTCAGTTTTTCTCCTTTCAAAACAAAGGAAGGAGGGACGTAACTACTGTTTACCACCAGTGGGTGTGGGGGTGCCGTGTCTCCTGCGAGCTAACGTTGAAGCACCAACAATTGAAATTTTATGACAGTTGGAAAATAGTTCCAGAGTTGTTAAAAGTGGTCGCAGTAACCAAATGCTACTACAGGATGTCATTTTTACCTCATTTCTACATAATGCACCTTTAAGAGTCACGAGGCTGAAACTGGCTCAAAATAAACACAACAAAACTGTAGGGCAAAAAAAAGATCAGGAAGCGAAACGTTCACCCGTTCTTGCACCTTACCAAGAGAAAGATAAAAAGAAAAAATTTTTTCCACTCTGAAGGGCAAATTCTTCTGGTATCAGATGTTTACACCACATCAAGACACGTAAACCATGGCAGCAGAAGATGGGGGGTGGGGTACTTTTACAGTAACTGGGGGTATAACTGTAAAAGCTTCCCCCTCTTATCCACCACCAGTCCAGGCAGACTTCAACGTCAGGGCTGTTCCTGTATCGAGGCCTTGGAGGAAACGTGCCATTAGCCTTGGCTCAACAACGATAACACAGCTGGAGAGTAGACACGACTTGTGAAGAACGTCCGAGAACAGCCATCAACAAATCACACAAAAACTACGCTCCCTCTCACTGAAACCGAACATCAAGTCTTTTCTGCTTTAAGGATCGGGAGAAATTTGCGGCGCGTGTTGGAACGTGCACAAGCCGCCTCCATTTTCCCAGACAGACATTAATTCCAGGCACTGATTCAAATGCATTTTGTAGTTTTTTTTTAAAAGTAACTACACTAAACAAAATAACAGGAACCACCTTCTGAATGCACCTGATGTCCTGTGAACCTCCCCACATGTCCTGGAGTCACATGATTCAGGCAAATTTGAAGAAAACATGCAATTCCGCTGCACACACACACACACCCAAACATCAATCTGAGCCAATGCTGGACACTGACAGGCAGACATGTGTTCCCAATATTGCATTAGACTGAGCTGGACTCTATTTGAAGCCTGAGTCGTGTTTGTTTACACCGTACCCCCCCCCCCCAGCCACGCTGCCGTCGACCCAGCCAACCCGGTCGAGGTAAACCTTGCAGGTAATCGGAAGCAGAGGAGCGGGCTGCTTGGTTCCATCCACAGCACCCACACACACACTAGCAAAGCTGAAGCTCTGGGCTGTAACAGTGCTACACCCACGCAGCTAAAAAAGACATTTCCCACAGCTGCAGAGCCGGGCCTCTTCCACTAACGCACCAGGAGATTCTGATGAAGGTGCTTTGATGTTGAACACAGATATGAATGAATGACTCTTCACGAACATGCACTTTTAAATGATCTTTACCCCAATTCCCGCTGCTGCAAACACATAAATGCCTTTGCAATAAGCACACCCAACACTTGTGCAACGTAAACTCAACACGATATCTCATTCTAGAACGTACGAGTCCAAGCGTAAGGACACCCGCTGTTGTTTTCTTTCCGTTTAGTTTTACATCACAGCGGGTTCAGTGGTAATCACGAGGTTACAAAGTTTTGCTTTTGTTTAAAAAAAAATGCATGGCTCAGCAGCAGGAGAAAGACAAAGGAGGAGGTTTTTTTTGTGCTGGCAACAACAAAAAAAATTACTACTAAAACCAAAAAAAGTTTCTTCAGCTAATTTGTGAGCACAAACAAACTGGAATGTTTTCCAACTTCCTGTTAGCATCCAGGCTACCTCACATTCGGATCGAAAAGCACAAATCACATAGTTTTGGTTCAAGTGGGATTTTCACGAACCCCAAACTACACAGTTGGCGCTAGCTTCTTCTACAACCTGAGGGTTTCTACAAATTCAGCAAGTTTTTTAGCACTGAAACAAACAAAAAACAAGAGTCTGGTTTCTTTTTTTAAAAAAATGCAATTTGTATTAAAAGTCTCATCTTTGAAACAGACAGTCCACTGTTAAATGGATCGTCTGAAATTAAACTTACAATCAGGTTAGATTTGTCGACAGTACATCATCACATATCCTGTTAAAAAAAACAACAAATTCAACAGAGTTCCTTTGATGTCGCTGGTCTGGAAGGTAATCGTTGCGTTTTGTCGTAACACCGAGGTGGATCCAGTACCTGTTTGCTTCAAGATATAGATTTGTCCAGAACAGATGCTAGAGAATGTGAATTGTTCAAAAAAGGCCAACACATAATACTTAAAAATCCACCGTTTGACTTAACGAAGAGCCTATTGCAGTTTTGTTCATTTTCAGCCTCCTCCACCGATACAAGATTATCCAGGAGAGTTCTCTATAGCAAGTAGGTTGCCATGTTGAAGGGTTCTTTTGGTGATAAACATAGGTTGGCACAAAATCCAAAGAGCTGATTTGCTTTGGAAAGGCACTCGACACAAGGGCGGTCAGGTCAGCGTCCCCACACCACTTCAGTAAGGGCCCTTTCACACTGAAGAGGGGGTGAAGGAGAAAAGGTGGCACATGTCACATTTACTCCACTGTCAGATACGTGGTTTCTTCTGACTTTTGGGGGAAAAGAGGGGGGGGGGGTCAGGGGGCGTTAGAGATGCCCATAATCTTCACATCAGTATGTGCAGTTATTTAACAAAATAAATTCTATTTCCCTGTCTTCGTCTTATACAGAAATATCCGTGTGTGAGCTCCTCTAAGCGTCGGGTAGTTTGGCTCCAGCCGGGGGTAGAGTCTGGAACCGGTTAAGGAGGGGTTGTTCTGAAGCTCCATGTTGATGGTGGTGGACACTGATCGTGCAGCAAAGATACTCCAACCCAGCAGAATTCCTGAAGAGTGAAACCCTCTCTGGTGCTCAGTTGCTCTCTTCCCCCTCCTCCTCCTGTCCCCTGCAGCATTCCTCCCTTCATTTTCCTCCAAGGCCAGGGCGAGACACGAAGAAGGGCTCAACAGTACAGACTCGCTGCAACACACTGCCACAGACAGACATGGGAGAGAATCACGAATGAGCAAACTTCAGGAAACAGCTCTTTGCTTGCTTTGAGGAAAACCGGACCCTAAATGTGGGGCTGGAGTCTCCCAACTCCTGTTTGACCACATTCACGAAAAGACACCAAAGTGTTTTTTCTTTTGCAGTTCTACAAACTAACCAGAAATTTCCCCAATCTGCTTGGTAAAACAGATTTTATGTTTATTAGCTAGCACTGACAAAAAGAGGCAGACTTGGGTGTTAAATCCAGTTATATTTAGCACACATCCGGTCTAGTTCTGTTCTGAAAACTTTACTTTATAAGGTTATTTGTGCATAAAAACATTCCATACACCAATAGGTGCATGGACTAAATCCACAGCTGGTGGGGTTTTCTGTGATGTCTCAACTTACCATTGCAAACTTAAAACTGAGCGGAGAATAAAACTTTTGATTGTTTTGTTCCTTAGAGGATGACACAAGACGAGCAGCACGGGTCGTCGCCATTGGGCGTTGAGGCATAGTTCATCTGTCGTACGATCTCTGCAAACAGTTCGTCCACTGAGATTTTATTTTTGGCTGAAGTTTCCATGAACGGGCAGTTCCACTCGTCCGCCAGAGCCTTCCCCTCTCCGGACGAGACCTCCCTCTCCCCTTCCAGGTCCACTTTGTTTCCCACCAGAATCATCGGCACCCGCTCGTACCTCTTAACCCGAATGATCTGATCTCTCATCGGCTTGATGTCCTGGAAGCTCTGCTGGTTTACTAGGCTGTAAACCAGGATGAAGCCCTGCCCGTTTTTGATGTAGAGGTCTCGCATGGAGGCGAACTGCTCGGTCCCCGCCGTGTCCAAGATCTCCAGAACGGAGGGTGAGGAGTCCACCTCGATCTCTTTCCTGTAGAAATCCTCTATCGTGGGGTCGTATTTCTCGATAAAAGACCCCGTCACAAACTGGACAGTCAGTGCGGATTTTCCGACACCTCCAGAACCCAGAACCACTACTTTGTACTCCCTCATGGTTCTCGAAGCAGCCGACACTCCTGCGTCCTCCTTGTGCGAACCAGCTAGCCGCCCTGCTGGGTTTCAAACCGCTCTCCGTCTCGCCGCCAGCACTTTTGTACGAGCTGTAGGCGGTGGAACCGGGGCGTGGCCGTCAACTACTGTCGTTCGGAAAGTAACTACGGATATTTCGGACCCACGCTCAGCATTTAAATTGCAGCATGCTGAGTTTCCGACAACAGCCCAACCGGTTCTTGTCCGAGCGTCCCCCGTTGTCGTTCACGCGCAACCACCGTGCGTCGGCTGGTCTCTTTGTTAGGATCAAGCTAGCCCTAGTTCAAGGCAACCATTTTCGTTAGCATTTCAAAATAAAAGTAACCAACCCAAAAGTGTTTGTCAAATCATTCCTAATTCATTCTCACTATCTATTAAATGATTCAATTTTGGAGAATAGTTTCAATCAAATCGTGTTTTGTACGCACAGTTGCCATAGATTTTAATTATGGTAAAATATTATTTAATCTAAAAATGCTACTTTATAACTTCCTGTCTCATCTTTGCTAGCTTCCCTGCACGAGCTCCAAACGCTTCCTGTCCGCCCGCTCGACACGCGTTTTTACGTGCTACGTCACTCAAGTGCCTCGCTGTTAAAGGTGCAGTCCGGCTTTTATCGGTTAACTCAGCCCCTGATATCTACAAAGACCTGCCACACCTTAGTTTCGACATCCATAAATGTTGAGCTTACTGTTACTTGAGTCATTAAACAACTTACTGGAAAAAAACATAATGTTTAAATGACGTAGTTGTGTGGTTTTTTGTTCTGCCACAGTATTTCTTCAGATAAGTTTCAGTAAGTGTGAATAGCTGATTTAGAAAATAAACAAAATGTCTTATGACCAATAACACTTTTATTGCTTCAATTAAAGTTTTTTTTTACATTATTTAGTTTTAAAGAGCCGTCCATGTTAAAAATATGTTTAAACTGGAAAGTCGTAAACAGATCGTAGACAGACAACAGAGAAATGTTAAAATTATGACTAACCAGTGACGCAGTTTTTATCTGTGCTTATTTTGTTCCCCCTACTTCATTTCCCTGTTCATGAACGTTGAACTCGTTTTTTGTATGGCCATGAGGAACCACACCAAATATGACTAAATGTTTCCAGTAAATAAAGTGTCCTACATTTTAAAACAGATCTTTTCACTGCGAATAAGCAGCTCTCTAAATATAAAATAAAACATCTGGTGAAAAAAATAAAATAAAAATATAGTGACAAATGATTAGACATGCAGATATTTTTCAAAAAGTCCAAGTAATTTGAAGTGTCAGTATTATTATTATTATTGATTCTTTGTTGTCATTTGTGTGTTTTATGTGTCTTTTAGCTCTTTGATGATCAGGTAATCATCGTTATAATAGTGCATATCACTCTTTCAGCATCAATAAATATAACAAACACAAAGTGACAAGCGACTATGGATAATGCGAAATATTACCCATCTCCAAGGGCGGAAATCCCATTTCAATTTTGGGGGGGACAATAAACAGTAAAACTTCAGAGAGTAATTTTTGCGGGGGGAGCATGAAAAAAAAGCTCTCTACACACAACACTGTATGTCCTTATAAGAGACTGACCTGAGACTCTGTGCCTGTGTCTGACAGGCTCTGGCTGCCTGTGCTCAAGTGACTGGACTTTGCCTAATGAAACCATTTAGAACCAATTTCATTTCTTTCTTATAGATGTCTTTATCAAAATGCAAGTTTCTACTTACTTGACGTTCTGGAGCATTAAAAAACGACCTGATGTCTGCCGTTTTTCATTTCTCTGCCATTTCAACTGACCTGGTCTGCTGACAGTTGGACAGCAACACACACACAGATGGGATATTGTCATTAGAACGGAGCTGGAGGATATTGATCAACAATAATATCTTGCCAATTTTACATCTCCATAAGCATCCTTTCTTTTTGTTTTCATTTCAATAACAAGACCGTGGCCTAAAACGGAATAAGCAATTCAGAATAAAGATTTAAAAGTAGATCGTTAATAGTTGAAGCAACATGTCCTGAAATGACTAGCTGACCAACAGCTACACGTGTGGACGGATGCAAAGCATTAATTTTAAGTACTAAAACACATCTAACTTTTTCACAGCAAAGAGAGAGAACATAAAATGTCAAATTACATTTTTATTAAATCACATAACATGAAAGCTACTAAAATCCAAATAGTTCCATATTGATTTTAATATATTTGAAAATTTCCTTCTAAATATGTCTAGAAAAATAACAAACTTCAAATCAGCTTTCACAAGTCACGCATCAAAATGACTGAAATCTCTTTAATAAATCATAGAAATGTTTGTAGGCTACTAGAGAATAACTCTGTAATATTTAATAACTTTATCTAAGTCCTACTGATCGAAAAGATACACAAAATCTAAAAATATACAGTAAATCCTCTAATACAGACCTGTATTCAATTAACGGCCGGGTCTCATATTTTGGCCGGTGTCGGCGGAGGTGAATAATGGCCGGTCTCTTATTGTGGCCGGGTGGAATGTGGTAACAAGCAAGTACGGGGGGGCGGTTGTGTCATCGTCTCACTTTTGATTTGCCAGTGATAGACCGCGAGGGTAACTTTAACCGTGCGGAGACAAAGAGGAGGCGAAAATTTGATATAAATTTCAAAGAGAACGTGCGCTGCAGAACACTGGGGAGCAGTAGGGGTTGTATGAACTAGTCGACTTCACTGTAGTGACTTTTTATGCCTGTCGTCGACTAGTCGCTGTCACGTGATAATGACCGGCAAGATGCAGCCCTCGGAAAAGACAGCAGCCTGCTGTCAGTAGGTGACAAGCTCCTGCGCTCGGGGGGGCAACGCGCTGTGCCAGAGCGTCGGTACTGACACGCGATCGTTCATGTCGGTTCATTTCCTTTAATGTTTTCTGTCTTTTATTTGCGTCTGATGTGTTTCGCTGCTGTGGAGCGGGGCGCATCACCTTGTCCTCCGACGCACCGATCACTGTTGCAGCCGGCAAGCAGGGAGCGCTCCGCTGTTTTTGCGGTCGGTAGATGTTTTAGAACTGCAGTTCAAAGGTAACTCATAAGGTGAATATACCGTAAATCCTCTAATACAGGCCCGGGCCTGTATTAGAGGATTTACGGTATATGAACCCAGGTAGCAGTTTCTCTTTAGGATTGAGAGGAGATGCAGGAAGATAATAAACAGACAGGACAGAAAAATAGTCAAATAAAAACAAGTTAGTTTTTGTACCTGGTGGTTGCAACAAACAGACACCATTGAAGGTAATCAGAAGTGAGGAACAGAAAATGAAAGACAAGACTATAATTTCTCAACAATGAAAAATACATTGTTTTGTATTTGCAGAATAACTTTTACATTGTGGTTTTAGAAGACAATACAGGTTTACTGATAGCATTTATGTGTTTACAATAACTTTTGAGGGGGGGGGGGGGGACGCGTCTCCCCCCCCCCCCCCCCCCCCATCCCCCCTGGGATCTCTGCCTATGCCCATCTCACTAACACAATGTAAGGCTAAAAAACAAAAAAAAAACAAAAAAATGAAATAAATACACAAATTCTGTCATATCTGTTCCTGTGGGACAATATTAGAATTTCTATATATTTTTTATTTAGCTAACTCTTTTTAGAAAATCTCAGACACTTCAGCAAGTAATCTTGCACAATCTCTTTAAACTTTACATTTTAGTGAAGTGAACAGTTAGCCTAGTGAACTAGACCAAATTCTTGCTTTGCAAAGAATGGTCTAGGCATGCTCCATTGGAACCTCAGCAGCTCCTACCAGGACTCTGGCTAGCCAATCACAGCTCTCTAGAGGGGTTTCAAACACATAAAGAGCTGTGATTGGTCCATAATGGTGGGCCAATCATAGTGCTCTATCTGCTTAGTGAACAAATCACAGAGCTTTATCCGCTTTGTGGGCCAATCAGGGCACTCTATATGCCTGGTGGGTGGGATGATGCAACAGAGTGAAACAAGAGTATGTCACATTCATTGTCCAATGGAATGCGGAGATCATTTGAAAGACAACGGTAGAACCCGCCCCACAACCGAGAGCCGTCAATGGAGCGTGGCCAGACTAAATAATACATGTATTTAGTCTGGCTTGCCAGGCTAGTGAACAGTTCATCTCAGGTCCATTTTTGATGGTGAAACTTTAATAAACAGAGCTGAACAAGACCAGCAGAGGGCAGTATTGCTACTCCACAAACAGCAGCTGCAGGAAAAAGCACCAGAAGAAGAAGTCCAACAGCAACTTAGAAGAAGGAAAAGTGTTTTGAGCATTTTGATTATAGACTTAATTGGCATTATCATAACGATAAACTAGTAGATAAGTGTAAAAAAGTTGTGAATATATTCAGATGTTTGTGTAGTAAGGAATGGGGGGGCAGCCATAGTTGCTATGAAAAGACTATACTGGGTTGATTAGATCTGTTATTGATTATGGGTGTCTTGCATATGCGTCTGCAGCGAAATCAAGATTAAAAAAGCTGGATGCTATTCAGGGTGCTGTCCTTAAGACTCTGTTTAGGTGCAATGAGATCCTCCCCGATATGTGCACTCCAAATTGAAGCAGGTGGAATGCCTTTAGAGCTAAGGAGATTACAGATATCATTGTCATATTTGCCTATTTGCAGCAAAAGACTTCTGGCCAGCCAGCATCAACACTTTTAGTGGCGTTCCTTCAGCGTAGGAGGCAAAAACGTTGTAAACCTGCACAGATAAATAAGCACATCTATTGATTTGTCATCAGAGTCACAGATTTAAGTCTTGAATGATTCTGAAGTTTCTGACCTGTTGGACAAGCTCTTTGGTTGGGAGTACAGCCAAAGCCCGGACTTCACACACCACCCGCTGCATCAGCGCCTGAAAACAATCACACAATGCAGCTTACACACACACTAGGCCCGGCATGTACCGCAAAACAAATATTTCTCTTTAAGAATACAAGTACCTATACAACAGGTATAACAAATGAAAGAGTCTTGCCACTGTAGCCTCCTCCACCAACTAGCAGACTGTGCACCCACCAAGATGGCTGGGATCACCTCTGCTTGCACCGAAAAGGATCACCAAACCGTTTTACACGTATCCTTTAAAAAAAAAACCCTTTCAACAAAAATAACCGTGTCTCCCATGTTGCATCGCTCAGCAAAAGCCATCAAACTGCTTTGGAACGACCCAACTGCTCTACCTAATTTGAAGAACTATATGATAAATAAAAATATCCTCAAACACAATTTAAATGTAAACAAAACAGAATCATAGTAAACTCTTAAGCAATAAGCAGTTGAGAAACCAGCATTAGATTCTAGTTTCTTCACCGGGAAAGAAGTGATGAATTCCATTATTTTCCAGTTTTTTCAGGAGCTGAGCACAAACCCCTGACGCAGCAGAAATGGGTGTCAGTTTGCATTTAATGTCTCTGTGAATGACATCGGAATCAGCGAGCCACTGAGGAAGAACACTGTGCACTTGTGAAGAGAACAATAAAGAATGGATGAGAAGGTAAAAGCCTGGCTCTTTTACCGTCATCATACTGTCACACCTTCTGAAGGACTTTGCTGTCAAATCCACCAAGAACAGTGTATCCTGCTGGGGACAAAGTTTTCTCTGGCTTTGGTTTTGATCAATCTTTTTCTGACTCCTCCAGGTCTTTTGTCCTCTGTTTCATTGCTTCTGCTCACAGAAGAAACATCTTGAGCTGATTTGTTTTTAAAAACAAAAGAGAAAAAGTTAATCTGATGTGGCATGTTCAATTAAACATTTGAAAAAAAAAAAGTCATCCACACTCAACAACATATCAACAAGTAAGCAGAAGTGATTACACTAACACACCTAACTGCGTCTTCCCCTTCTTCTTCTTTGCAGCATTGTTGTCAAGGTCTGAATCACACAGAGCTCCAACTTTGGATTTTCTCTTCTTGCGGACCTGATGATCTTTACTGCTGTTTTTATCTGCATCTTCTTTGTTTTTATCATCCTGCTGCTTTCTGCGCAGATTCTCTCTGCTCTGTCAGACTCTGTCTCTGCTTCTGTTTCACCTTCTGCTGCAGCTTAGCCAGCAGCACCCGACTCTGAGACTCTTTGGAGACGCTTCCATCTTCCTCTTCTCCAAGATATCTGGGAACGCAGTAGACACTTGCATTTATCATGATCGAGCTAGAATTATTTTGACGTACATTTTCAGAATGCGTTTGATAAGTTGCTGACATTTTTTAAAAATAAATTAATGTATATTGAGCTATATTCCCGTTTGTTAATGGCATTTTGCAAGTTTCACTGATGTCAATAAAAAATATATTACACTGTAGCGTACTGTTACATAAATACAGTTAACACACTGTTATAAATCATCTTTATAGCTATTTTGCTTCATTTCTACGAAAAACAATCACATATTTGTCTTTGTATTGCTAAACCTACCTGCAAAGTATCAGAAAAGCACATAGACTACAATAAAAGCATTTGGAAAGAAAATGCTGTAAAATACCTACCTGTCAACAACAACAAACAGAGGCATTTGAACTTCTAAACTACTTCCAAAAATGCCAAAGAATGACGACTTTAGTTGTCCCTCGTTAATTAGCTGTCAACGCCTTTAAAAACAAATGTGTACCTTTCATTTCATCCGACTGATCAAAGTCAACAATAAACCTCTGAACTACAAATCCATACGCGGGATCACATACACTGTAAAATAAACCAGGCGCGTGTTTTTTACGTCTGTACAAAAAAATGTCGCACATAGATGTCGTCATCATTTGGTCGTCTTCAAAAATAATTAAACTGCTTTGCTTTAATTTAGTTGTTTTTAATAAGACAATATATATCTTACAGTTAACATATTTAGAGAATATTTGAATTCATATTTTAAAAAACAAAATTAAAACAAGATTCTTGTTTTTTTTCCACTGCCCAATCACCCCTGCGCATGGACCTGATCACGTGATTACGTTACCCTATAAACACACAGCAGCAGATTTTTGAAAATACTCCTGTACACGGCGGTACACGGTCGTCGATAGGGCTGTGTTCGACGTATTTAATGTTTTTGAAGTCTGTTAGAAATATCTTAATTTAGTGGTTTCTTACGGTAAAGCAGAAAATGACAGAAGAATCAGCTGTTAAAGTTTGCGTGCGAATCCGCCCGTTTGTTGCCAGGTAAGTTTGTAATATGAATACCCTACCCAAAGCCAGCTAGCTAACCGTTAACCATTCTGTTTCAACACAAATGCACTTGAATGTTAATAATTATAATGCTAAAAGCCACAGACCATTTCGAGTACACATTCAATTGTGTTCTGGGTCTAAGAGACGCCAGGAGAAGGAGAAATAACGGCTTTGTTTAATTTTCCGCCATTATGTCTCATCTGTAGTTTATTTATTCATTTAACCAGATGAGTCGATTGAGAATTCATTCTTATTTACAACGAGGATCTGGCCAAGAGGCAGCAGCAACAGACATAATTCGCGTTACACCAAAGAAAAACCGATAAATAAGATAAAAACAAACAAGTTCAAAATACGATCAAACTGTTCGACATAAAGACAAAGGACTGTTCTCATATATTATGTACAAGCAGTCAAAACGGACTTAAAACAATCTTAAATAGTCAGAAGCAGGTACATTAATCAGAAATTGATTGCAATTAATTATTGAGGGTAGTGAGCTTTAGTGAACTTTGAGAAGAACCATAGAAATGAAGTTAGGGGAACATAAATTGTGCTTGTTGGAGATGGGAAGATGACCGGGTTCTACCGATGATTGTTTTGTACATAAATTGATACCAGTGTAACAACCTGTGGGAATGGAGTGATCATCTCTTGTATTTCCAGGGAAGAAAATGCTTCTGAGAACTCTGAGCCTGTCCAGTTTTGGAAAGCGGACAAAAAATCAATTCATCAGATTGACGATGGAAGCTCCAACAGAAGTTTTACTTTTGGTAGGTTTTTCTAGACGTTGAAGTTACTCAGTTTATTCCTATTAACACAAGTGTACTTATCAACTCTCTACGGTTTACAGACAGGGTGTTCACTGCTGATGAAACAACCCATCAGCTCTACCAGACTATCGCAAAGCCTCTGGTTGTTTCCACTGTGGGAGGATACAATGGTATGGGTAAAACGATAAATTAGTGCAACCTATTTTATTCTACTTTATTTCACGTGTGTGTGTGTTTTGCCTGAAAGGAACAATATTTGCCTATGGGCAGACTTCTTCTGGAAAGACCTTCACTATGATGGGTGGGGACCATAACCCCGGAGTCATTCCTCTAGCTGTGGAAGAGGTCTTCCAATCGATTAAAAATGTAACTATTATAGAGCTTGTTTAAAGCAACTTATTGTGAATTTATTGTTCCCCCTCTAAACAGTTTATTCTCTTTTACTTTCAAGTTTCCAAACAAGGAGTTTCTTCTCAGAGTTTCCTACATGGAAATCTACAATGAGACTGTGACGGATCTGCTTGTTGACAGCTGGAAGAGAAAACCTCTGGAAGTTCGTGAAAGCATTAATGTAAGTGAGTTAGATGTTTGTAGTTCAGTTTTCAGCATTGAAGTTCATTTCTAAAATGCAGTGCACCGTGAGTAAATCATTAAAGAGCAAGTCACCCCCAAATCGACTTTTTTTGCTGGTAAACTATATACATGAGTGTCTAATTGTGCTGTAGTCACATGCAGTCAATAATTTGGCACTTTAGTGCATCTTAGTTAAAGAGCAATTCACCCCGTACAATAAACTTACTCCACTCCTATTTGATGTTTGAAAAATGCAACAAATGCGGTTGCCTGGCTCAAGTTGTTTAACGAACCAAAGGCAGTAAACAGGAGCGACCCAGAAGTTATTTCTTGTTCCGCTAAGAAGTCACTACATCTTTTTGTGTTGCTCTAATATTGGGTGAAGCAGGCTGGAGGCTAACATTAAGCTAACAATGCTAATGGTGAATTGGAGACAAATTGCTCTAAAAATACCTAAAGCTACTTTTTCTATTTCCAACAACTCGGTATAAGAGTAAAACATGTGTGAATTGAATAGTGAGTCAGTTGTGGCATTTTACTTCCTTCAGTGAGTCGAACTATCACAGCAAGCTAACAGCAAGACGGCGAACAACCACACTTCCTCTAACGCTGGATACAAACTACCATAATAAGTGTAGTAAGTGCTCCTTACCGTAAAACACCGAAGAGTGCCAACACCAGAAGTGATGGTGTATATATCTACTTATCACCTTACTGTGTATGACTCATCCTTGCTTGTCTAGAATCTTCAGGTGCTGATCCGTAACTGGAAACAGCCATGAAACTTATGGAACGGGAGTGAGAAGAGGACTTTATTTTTGCTTTAAAATGGACTGCAGTTACCAAATTTGACCACAGGATGTCACTGTTGCATCTTTAAAACAAAATGTATCGAATGGAAAAGCTGGAGAAATCAGAATCAGAAAAACTTTATTTATCCCAGAGGGGCAATTAAAAAAAAAATAACAGCAGAGTAGCATGATGTTGGACATACAAACATTGAATAAATAGGCAATAAGGAAGTAATAAAGCAGCAAGAAGATGGATAAAATGGTAAAATATGCAAAAAAAAAAAACAGAGTAAGTGACTAAAGTGTCGTCTGTATAAAAGTTAAATGTATGGAGAGCCCAAGGAGAGGGTTTATCGGGGGATGGTCTTATCTTATCTGCTGGAGTTAAAGAGCAGAATGGCTCTTCTCCTCTCAGTCTTACAGGAAATGCAGCGTAGGCGTCGCCCAGAGGGGAGCCATTGAAATGCGGGGTGAAGAATGTGAGAGGGGTTGTGGAGGATTTGGGCTGCCTGTCTCAGGGCTTGTTGATAGAAGACCTGAGCAAGAGTTCTGGCAGGCAGGCCAACGATTTTGGAGCACACTGATTCAGTGTGCTGCAGTCTGTTCCTGTTCTGGAGGCTAAGGGAGTAGAACCAGCAAGTGATGCTTTCCAGGAAGGCACAGTAAAATGTCATCATGACTGAGGAGCTGACTCCAAAGGAGTTGAGCTTCCTAAGGAGATATAGCCGTTGGTGGCACTTCCTGAGAATCTCCTGTGTTAGCAGAGAATTTCAGGAGGTTGTCAAAGGTGGTTCCCAGATACTTGTACTCCTCCACTACCTCCACTGGGTTCCCATGGATAATGGTGGTTACTGAAGCAGCCGGATCCCTTTGCCTCCTGCAGAAGGTCACCACCATGGTGGTGACCTTAATGGCACTTGGACTCATGAAGCTGAGCTCATTTCCATCTTTGTTCTTTGAGACACTACTGGCCCTCTAAACCCTGCTTTGTTTTTCTTTGTGTGCAGAAGAACATCTGTGTTGCTGATCTGACTGAGGAGCTTGTCACTACTTGTGCACAAGCTCTTGCCTGGGTCCGGAAAGGAGAAAGTAAGATCTGATATTATTTCTAAAATGTTCTAGATACCATTTGCTGCCAACTGGAAGTGACAACCATGTTCCTCTCTAGAAAACCGTCACTATGCAAAGACTAAAATGAACCAGCGTAGCAGTCGCTCGCATGCCATATTTCGTATGGTAAGCATCCCTGCTGTTTCCAGTCATCGAACACTAAATATTCATAGTTTTAACTCTTATTTTTTTCATTACACCAGATCTTAGAAAGCCGTGAACGGAGTGACCCAGCATCAAGCGACACTGCTGATGGAGCCATTATTGTGTCTCATTTGGTAAGTTTGTTACAGTTTGTTTTCTTTGTTACTTCTACTTCTAAAAGTTTTTAGTCTGTTTCACTTTTTTTCTCTTGGCTTTCCAGAACTTAGTGGATCTAGCTGGATCTGAGAGAGCAAGTCAAACAGGAGCTGAAGGTAAGCAGCAGCTACTCGTTTTCTTTAGCGCTGACATCGTTTTCGTCAGACCACATTAAAATCATTTTCAAGTTGGGACTGAAATGTCCCTCCTTGATGTCACGATGGAGACGACTCGGGCTGAATATGACCTCGTTCCTCTTTTGCTTTTAAGCGGTAGTCGCAGAACAGATATCAGGCTAGTCCTGGAAGAGTGAAAGTAGCTTTAGAGACTTTTCAGTGAAAGCGATGACCTGTTTTCCTTTCTCACTCTAGGAGCTCGCTTCAAAGAAGGTTGCAACATAAACCGCAGTCTCTTCATGCTTGGTCAGGTGATGAAGAAGCTGACTGATGAAAGCCAGAAGTGAGTAAACCGCTGATCCATATTCTCACCTGCTCCCCGTTATTACGTCCACTCCTAAAAATTCTGCATGCTCAGCCTACAAAACACAAGTATGACTGGTGGAAATTTCTTTTTTTTCACACTCCAGAAAGTAGAAATAAGCATTTTAGTTTAAAAAAAATGCTCCCTCTGTTCTGTTCTTGCAGAGAGTGAGTCTCTTTCTCCATCCTACTTTGAATAAATGAACTTTTCGTTTGAACTGTTTCACAAAACATCCAACTTTCCTCCTGGTTTTTATACTTTAGTTGGTTTTGTACCCAGTTGGTGTCAAACGGCTCCACAGCTTTACGCAGACATCAAATGTTCGTGGATCTCCGGCTGCATGTTTGCAGAATACAATCTGTTTTAAAGAGCAAGTCACTCCAAATTGACTTTTTTTTTTTAAATTTTTTTGCTGATAAACTATATAAATGAGTGTCTGATGGTGCTGCAGACACGTGTAGTCAATAATTCGGCACTTTAGTGCATCTTAGTTAAAATTTAAATATTCTGCCTAAAACTGTCAGCGATGCACCATCGTCAGGTAAAAACTCAGCACTGCATTTGAATTTAAATCTGCCGTCGCTATTGGCTAAGAGGTACACTATGGTGTTAGATGGTACATTATGATGTCACAGTGTCGTGAGTGTATGTATTTGTTAGCGGCTCCACCCTCTCTGTCTGCTAGGCAACAGCATTTGTTGCATTTTTCAAACAGGAAGTGGGAGTTGAGTGAGAATCTGGTAGGGGGTGACTTGCTCTTTAACAAGTAGAACTCCGTTTCAACACTACTTATTTTATGTTAGCTTGATTGGCAAACTGCGAGGAGAAAGCCGGAGCTGGCATCAAACCAGGAGGCCGTACATGTCAACTTTTCACTCTCTGTCCAGAGGGGTGGGGTGGGGTGGGGGGCTTGGTTCTTGTATTCATGATAATGTCCGGTGTTTCATCCAGAATCAGGGATCAAATTATGGGGGAGCGCTCCAGGCAGCTGCGTTCTGCGCACGGCACATTCTCAAAATGGTGCAACCAAAAAACTATAATTAACACACGATCGTTCATGTCCGTTTATATCCTCTGGTACTGTCTTTTAATCGTGCCTGACGCACTCGCTCATCATGTGCTGTGCTGATTTCACCTCACTGACGCAGCATCGAAACGTGCGCTCCGCTTTGCGGTCAGGAGATCCCTTTGATCTGCTCAAAAGTAACTTATAAGGTTAAAAAGTAAGAATCCAAGCAGCAGTTTTTCTGGAGAGTTTAGAGAACATACAGGAAGATGAGAGACAGACAGGGCTGGAGAATTGTTAAATAAAAACAAGAAAACAAAGAAAAATGTTTGATGTTTCACGTTTGATAAAAATGTTCACCTTTTTCTGTACTTCATTTTGTTGCCCTGGAATTTCATGTTGTAGCCCCCCCCCCCCCCCCCCCCCCTTCAATAAGCGCCGACAGGGGACAGCAACCCCAAACACTGACCGAGCAACTGTACAGCAACTGCTGGTAAAATTTCCTGGAGCTGCCCATGTTGATTGCTAAAGTATTATGCCTCTCTGCTGAATACGATTGCTCTTAGGGGTTTCATCAACTACAGAGACAGCAAGTTAACTCGCATCCTGCAGAACTCGCTGGGTGGGAACGCTAAAACGGTCATCATCTGCACCATCACTCCTGCCACTCTAGAGGAGACTCTCGGCACTTTGCAGGTTTGATAAAATGCCCATTTTTCTTTTTCTCGTGACGCCTCAACAAATTGCCGAGGTCAAGTCGGAACAGACGGTGACTTGTCTGTTCCGTTAGTTCGCCAGCACTGCAAAGAAAATGAAGAACGACCCACACGTGACGGAGGTGTCGGACGACGGGGCTTTGCTCAAAAGGTATCGCAATGAGATCGTAGAGCTGAAGCAACGGCTTCAAGAGGTGAGCGCAATCCCCTTATTTCATGCTGGACGTTTTTCTGGCCGCCGCTCTTCGTTTGACCAGCATGTGATTTTTATCACACGTAGGTTTCTTCAGTCTCGCAGACCACCGTGACGGAAAAGGAGGCTCTGTCTCAGCTGCTCCAGGAAAAAGATCAGCTCCAGAGAGAACAGGAGGACCGCATCAAAAACCTGACCAAACTGCTCGTGACCAGTTCAAATCAGGTTTTTGTCCAAAAGGTAACCACGACGAGAATAAAGCTCTTGCTGCTGTGGCGACTCCTCTGCTTTCTGCTTCTAACGAGCTTCTTTTTTTCTCTCTAGGTGCCTAAACGCAGGATAACGTGGGGAGGAAAGATGGTCAAACTTGCTGGCAAGGCTCCATTTGATGATCATCATGATGATGATGATGGTGATTTACCAGACATGAGCTTTGCAGGACCTTTCGGTCGTAGGACGAAGATGCCCGTCTCTTCTCTGACTGAGCTGAGTGAAGGTGAAGAGCTACACGAGTAACTGAAGCCTCACTGGCATCGCTACGACGCTGATATTTCTGAGTGAACTCATGTTGGATCTGTTTTCACAGCTGAATACTTTGACTCCCAATGGGGGACGCCAGAGGAGCCGTTTGATGAAACTGAGATGAATGAGAGCTCGGTGACTGCGCGCAGCCACAGAGACAGGTGAGTTTGTTTTTTTTTATTAAACTTTATTTGCCCAGGAAAACTTTTTCAAGGGAGCAAAACATCACATAAATACACAGAAACTAAGTTCACACAATTAAAACCCATTAAAAAAATCCCTAAGAAATAAGTAGATTTAAAACGTTAAAACAATCTGAATAAAACTGTTGCATGTCAATGAATTGCTCTCAAGATTTCTTAATTTGGATTTTTCCCTCCCACTGTCCTAACGGGTGTGACCCCGTGAGGAAAGTTGACCTTCGAGCGGGGTTGATGGTTTATCCCTTGGGTCCGTGTGGCAGGGGTGAGGAGTAGGGTTGTCACGGTGTGGAAATTTAACCTCACGGTTATTGTGACCAAAATTCTCACGGTTTTCTGTACTATCGCGTTTTTTTTTTTTTTTTTTTTTTAACGTGTTACATTTTCAGACGACTAAATAAGCCCTGTATATCAGGAAAATATTGTCCTCAGTTTGTGTCTAAATTTTGCCTAAAATTAGTTATTTTGTAATTATCTTGTTTTAGAGCCCAGCCCTAGGCCCGGGGGTCGGGCCGGGCTTCGGGCCAACAACTGTGTAATTACCTCGGACACGGGCCGGGCACCTTTATTTTTAATCAAATTCATTAAAAAAAAAAACTGAAACACTTGAACGCAGCAGCAACTGCCTGCTTCTCACGCAGCGGCACTCGTTAGCTCAGTTAAGGTCTGTGTGGTTTGTAATCTACCGTAAACAAATTCTCAAACTGCTGATTGAAACATGTGCCCCTATTCTAATATGCCATTTTATGTCCACTTTGATGTCAGAAACATTCGTTTATTCTCATGAAAATGGCAGCATTCTATTTTTCTGTGAATAAATTCGCTCTGCAGTAAAAAAAAAATGCAGCATTCATTCCTGGTTTTTTTTTTTCTAACTGGAGAGCGCATTTTCAGAGCGGCAGATTAAATTTACAAACGCTACATTAATTGGGGGCGTTTATTTAATCTGCCGCTCCGAAATTGTGCTCTGCAGTTAGAAAATTAGAATGCAGCTTTTTTCTAATTGCACAAGAGCGCATTTTCAGAGCAGATTAAATTTACAAACGCATCCAATTAATATAGTGTTCGTAAATTTCATCTGCCACTCGAAAAATACGCTCTGTTAGGGGAAAAAAAGCTGCATTAATGCTGTTTCTCTTTGTTTTTTTTACTGCAGAACGCTTCTCACAGATAATTAGAATGCTGAGCATCCTATCACACTAAAACTTTATGAAAGGTTAAAAAAAAAGTCGGGCTCGGGTCGGGCCAGAGAATCCTGAAAACCTTTTCGGACCGGGTCGGGCTGGGGCTCCACCCCCTCGGGTCGGGCCGGACACGGGCTCAGACTTCAGGCCCGTGCAGGGCTCTAATTTGTTTACATTTGTCCCCTTTAGTCTTTAAAATACCAATATTTGCCCACAACTTATTTTTTTGTCTGTTTGATGTCATCATTTTAAAAATATTAGATCAGATGATACTCAGTACTCAAGTAGCCTTCTAATCAGATACTTTTTTACCCTTACTTGAGTAATAAACCCTATATCAGGAAAGTATTGTCCTCGGTTTGTGTCCTTCCAGTGAGCTTTGCAGATGTGGGAAAATGTCATCAGGCAGTAATTATTCTCGGAGAGAGACCAACTCTTATCTGCCCCTGGGAGCCCCGTAATGCATAGCGTCATTTCAACATGGCGGTGTCCGCGACACGGTTTATATGCAGGTAGCGGCGCTGCGGCTGCTTTATATAGCGACTCGTTGCATTCTCCCTCAACCCAAATCCTCGGATCACGCATTTTAGCTAAAACGCTAACATTAGCTTGCCTTGCGTTGACTGTAGAGTTGTGGGTGATGGTCACGCAGATGTGTCATGAGATTTGAAGCGTTGCTGCCTTTCACAGACACTTTTTCTGCACGTGCTGCAAACAGGATAGCCGTCTTCTATCAACTGTCCCTCGGCATTCTTCAAATGTCCAAAAAACGCCCGTACTTCCCACTTTGTCTTCTTTGAGGGATAATGAATGTCCTGAGTGCTGCCGTCTCCTCCTTTGGCCATTATTTCAGTTTTAGCTTCAAGAAAGTTTTGGTTGTAAACAACAAAGTGCGCATGTGCCGCCGGCAACTTCAGCAGATGATACGGTGGCCGGTAAGGGTCACCGCGACTACACCGCAGCCACGGTAACCCACCGAGATAATATGTTTTAAAAAACAAGACGGTTATTATTAGTGTCGACTTTTTTACCAGGGTTTACTGCTACACCGGTTACCGTGACAACCCTAGTGAGGAGTGCGCACCACACACCCATTAGGACAGTGGGAGGGTTAAAAACACTCTGCATTTTGCCCTCAACCCATTCCAAGCTGCTGGCGCTGAGTGGGCAACAGCTCTCTTTCCAAGTTCAGTACGTGGAAAAGGGACAGAGTTATTTACATCATGTGTGAAACGAAAGCTCCCGCCTCTGTAAGATTTTGTGTTCCGTCTAGTTTTAGAGATTGGGTGAGCCCCAGTCAGTCACGTGAGCTGTCGGAGAAAGTGTCCCAGTTGGAGTTGCAGCTGGAAGTGGAAGTTCAGCAGAAAGAGGAAGCCATGAAAAGGGCAAACCTTTTAGATGATAGACTTGCAGAGCTGCAGCTGCAGCTTCAATCAGAAGCTCTGCAGAAACGCGAAGCAGCGGAGAAAATGGAATCAGCAGGGCAGAAGTTGGCCGACCTGGAGCGGCAGCTGCAGGAGCAGAGCCAAGCTGATGCTAAACAGGTCAGCTGCGTTTAAACGAACTCCAGCTCTTTAGCTTTGGAACTCAGCGTTGACGAAAGGTGTTTTTGTTCCCAGATGGTGAGGGAATTTGCAGAAACCATTCAGCTGTGTGAAACTTTGGCCACGGAGAAGGTAAGGAAGAAGCTTTTCTTTAAAATAAACCCACACCAAATCCATTCAAATCCCGAAGAATGTGTGCTTTTTAGGACCAGATCATAGCTGAGAGGGACTACCTGAAACAGGAGCTGGGGATGTTCATGGAGCAAACGCAACACCTGGAGAAAGAGAAAGCTGCGCTGTCGCAGGAGCTGAAGGAGATCAACGACCTGGACGAGTTTGAGTCGCTGGAGGAGAGGATCAACAAGGATCTGGAGGTAAAAAACAGTACAAATCCTTTATAAAAACTTAGGATTAATGTTATTAAATGTGCTGTTATATCTGAACTGTTCATGTTTTTGGTGGGTTTTTTCAGACCGAGTTACGCAGTGAAATCTGTAGCCTGAAGGAAGCCGTTAAATCATCTGAAGCACAGCGCCTCGAGCTTCAGGTAAGCTGGTGATCACACGTCCTGCTCATAAAACCTGCGGTCATGGTTCTGGAGTGGTCCGACCACAGGTGGGCAGCTCACATGCCCACATGGTTCTTGAGTTATCCAGGGTTAAAAGATAACGCCGTAACCTTTTTTTTGGTGTTTTGTTTGGTTTGTTGCTTCAGAACAAACTTCAGGCATTGTCTGAGGAGCTGAATAAGAAAACCGAGTTTGCTGAAGAGCTTCAGAAGATGGTACGTTTGTTATTTAGTTGTTGAGGAACTGCGATGCTTGCTGCTTGTCACACCTGTAACGGTTTGGAAGCGCTGAAGTCTTCCACTGAGCTGCTGCTGAGTTGTTTCACCGTCTGATCTCTGCAGAGCGGTAAGGACTTGGTGCAGGAGGTCGCCACGCTGCGTCGCTCTCTGGATGATGCGGAGGGGGTGAGCAGGGATACGAAGAAGGAATGGGCATTCCTCCGGAGCGAAAACATGAGTTTGGAAGAGTTAAATGTAAGTGAGGTCGCTCCTGTGTTGTGTTTAGTTATTGTCACTTTGAGAAGCTGTCGTCATTAGCCAAGATGCATCTTTGTGTACCAGCTACCTCGGTACTAGGGCTGGGCAATAAATCGAAAATCTATTGTAATGAGTTAATTTACATGTTATTTAATGAGTCATAAGACATAAGATTCCATATCAAATATGAAATCAACCTTATGGATCTGTGGGAACTGTTTAACCAGAAGATTGGAACTTTTTATTGCAGGGATTGGAAAACGGCTTCGTATTAATTCAGAGACAAAAGAAGAGAGAGTCAAGTTTAAAGATTTATTACTAAACAAATTAAACTTGACTAACTTAAACACTAAATGTATGGTGTAACTAAGGTGAATGAGACGGAGAATGGTGTGATGTGGAATGTTGCTCAGAACCAGCAAATCTGAAGAAACTGTTAGTTCTGATGGGAAATGAAGGTGATGTCTTCGCTTTGGTTAGCAGATTCATTAGGGCTGTAGCGAGACGTCGACGGCTCGATTCTATAAATTTGTCGACGTCAGATCCGGTAGTCGACGCACCGCGCCCACTTGTTGCATCCCCAGGAGTTTGTAAATAGAGGTGGAATCTGCCCGTTTTTCCTCTAGTTCGCCCTCTTCTCCGCCTTCACTAACATCTCCGCCAAATACCGAAGACCCGGAACAACGTCCGTCCGCTACTAGATTCCTTTCTTGTTTTGCCCGCCTTCGTCTCCCGGCAACGGACAACAACTTCTGGGGTCAGATGCGCTGCTCCGTCTCTATCGCAGATGTAGAAAATCACCGGGAGCGTTTCTCCCTTCATAAAGGAGCTTCTTTCAGACATGAGGAGAGCTGTTTTGGTGGTAGCAGTCTCTCCTCTGTGCTGGTCTATTTGCTGCTGGTATTTTTGGTTTATTTAAACTTGGTAACTTGAACTTAACGTTGGTAAAGCTACTGTTAGCATCGTCGCTAACAGCTTCTTGCGTTTGGATAAGCTGTTATGTTTTGGTTTAGAGTTCATCTTTTTTGTGGTGCAGATCTCCCTTTTATTACATTTAGAGTGTTGTGGGTTTTCGGTTTAGTTTAAAATATCACCTTGAGTTTGGTTTAACCGCCCAGTTTAGAGTTTGGACCTTTGGAGATACTTATTTTGGTCCAGAACCCTGTAATCTTTGCCCAGTGGGACATCCCTACTTATTTGTACTTTTGTTTTAATTCCCCACAGGCAGAATTAGTTATTATTCCCAACCTGTGGATGGAAAGATTAGTTTTTTTGTAGTTGTAAATAAACCTGATCATCATTTTAACTTTTAAATCCCACGTTATTGTCCCTTCCTTTTTGCACACGAGCCAAACTCCCCAGGAAGAGTCGTAACACCACTCGCCTCACGCACATAAGTGACCAAAACAAGCAGCATGGAGACACTCTGTCTCCAACCACCTCTCAGGCAGCAGCCTGCACTCCCAAGTTCTACACGTCACCAGAACATAACCAACCAACACAATAAAAGCAGTGTTATACAAAATGGAAGGCCTGTAGTGTTTATTCTCTTACAGTAAGAATTTATCAATTTTTTGAGGAATTTATTAGATTTTTTTGGTTTTTATTAACTGTGCAATAGAAAAATAATCATTTGATTAATTGTCTAAATAGTCATTAGAATAGTCGACTATTCGACAAAATAATCGTCAGAATAATCGTTTACCTCACGCCCTAAGATTCATCAACACATTCGACGCCATTCCGTCGGTCTACATACCCTGAGCGGAAGTCCCCGTCTAGATCAGGAGGTGTAAAGGTCCAGCTTGACCTTTATGGAGCTGAAGCCTGTAGAACAGCTGCGGCAGCCGACCACCAGTCTTGAGATACTTCCGGGTCACGACAGTTTGTTGGCATCTAGCGAGACCCAAACCTGGGTCGTGATGGTAAAAGCTGAAAGGAACCGTTGCAGCAGTTGGAACGGCAACAGATTTTATCCAGCTTGTCGTTGGTTCTTTTGGCTGAAGAGGAAAGTTACGGATTGGCCACTCCGACAGCTTCTCTAGAACGCTTTGAACTGGCGTTAAAGATGGCGTGGGCATAGTTTTATACTTCGGATGTTTTGGTTTATGGTCGAATGAAAAGTTGACAGGTTTACCAAACACCACCAAAACTTGTCAGATCTGGCAGATTCTGATTGGATCAGTAAAAACAATGTGTCATGTCTTAACGCTACGTGAGATCAGTCCTAGTGGAAACATTTAAAGTCATATTACTTACTTTATTATAATCCAATAGAATATAATAATTAATATTTTGATTTCACAGATTGGTCACATCCTATTTATTGACTAACACTTTGTTTGATTAGCTTTATTAAAATAGAATTCTTTGATTAATTAAAAGAAGAGTCCTTTCTTCAATCCTCTCTCGAGCTGGAAAGAAAGCAGTTTTAGGCCCTGTCCACACGTAGCCGGGGATCTGCCAAAACGTAGATATTTTTCTACGTTTTGGCCTGTCATCCACTCGAAAACTGAGTTTTTTCACACGAAAACGGATCTTTTTAAAAACTCCGGCCAAAGTGAAGATCTGCGTTTTCTCCGTTTTGGGTGTCTGCGTGTGGAGGTCCGCAACGTCACTTTCCGCGAGAAAAAAATGCTGACATCACGTGTGCGACCTGTGTTTACACTAGCCGACAGCATGGATGCCCTCAGAGCTGCGCTCGCTTTATCAATTGTCCAAGCGCTTTTTGCTTGTTTGTTTTTGCAAGCGGAATTACTGCTCCTTGCGGAAGACCACAGACGAAGGACGAGGTTAAGAACGGGGGAAGTACTGCTGCCTACAGGTCTGGCATGTTCTTAACAACGTATTTATCCGGGTACGTGTGGACAGAGGTTTTTTTTTTAAAACGAGGTGGTGTGGATGCAAGTTTTTGGAGGGGTGGATATTCTTTTTAAAAAAAACCCGGCTACGTGTGGACTAGGCCTCAGAAGCAAATGCATGAGACCTTGCGTCATTTCATTCCGTTACACTATCGTTATCGAAATTTCTGACTCTATTTCTAGTTGGTGTTCAGCATTTTTTGTGTATGATGTTGGCGTAAGCGGAACCGTACACATTCAGTTGGTTGTGAAAGGGGGCTATTTTTAGATGAGCACATTAGCTGGTTAAGCTAGTGGGAGCTTGTGCCATGGGAAATGCAAGTTTAATGGTAACTGGATGGCTAATCCCACATTCGCAATGTGGTTAGCACTGTTTCCAGGCAAAAGCTGGAAATTATAGTTTAAATTTAATTGAAGAAAAAAAAAGCTTAATTTTGGTCAAAGTGTCCAAAAAGTGTTAAAAAAGTTCTTAAAAAGTCTTAAATTTGGCTCCCTTAAACCTGCAGATACCCTGTAATTACAAGATAAGACTTTATTGATCCCTCAGTGGGGACATTTTTGCGTAACTACAGCTCAGACGGATGGCAGGAGTACAAAAGTGATCAAGAATGTAAAATAAAAAAAGATTTAAATAAAAAAGTAAAGTTGATGGCAAATTTACCAATTAGCAGTCGAACCATTTTTTTAGTCTCATCGTGAACCTCCTCACAGTATCGCAGTAAATATCGTATCGTGACGATATCGAATTGTGAGATTTGGATATTGTTACACCCACTGTAACCAGATTTGTATAAATATTTTTTTCTTTACCAAAGGGGACCCTGACTGCCAAACAGGAGAAAATGGAGTCTGAGATGAACGATCTGCTTTTACAACTTAAGACCGAGAAATCTCGCTACAAAAAGATGCAGAGTGATCTCCAGAAGGAGCTGAACATTGCTTTTGACGAAAACACCAAACTCTCCACTCTGCTCGATGGCAACGTCCCCAAAAGTAACTTCATATTTTTAGTTGTAGTTCATAACCTGCCTTGAAAAGGGAAGTCATGAAGTTTTTAAAATGAGGTCGTTGTTTTTTTTTTTTTTTTTTTTTTTTTCCTCGCCCTGTCCACAGGTCTGACTGACGGTCTGGAACTGGAGAGAACTGTGACCCGGCTGGAGAAGGAGCTGACGGCTTCACGTGAAGCAGGGGAGACGCTCCGAGCTGAGCTCCAGACGCTGGCTTCATTTAAGACTCTTCCAGATCAGGTGGAGAACTTGACAAAACAGGTAAGCGCTACAAGCGCCCTCTACAGGTGATGTCAGGAAGGACGGGCTACTTCACTAATTCCATCAAACCATCTTGATTCTTCTGGGTTCCAGGTTTGTGACTTGACTGAGGAGTTGCAGTGTGTTAAAACCGAGAGGGATGACCTGCTCTCAGGTCAAACTCGGAGTGACCTGGAGGCCCGGCAGTTCAGCGAGGAGAATCCGAAAATTCAAGCAGATCTCGGCGTTTCTGCTCAGGAGGAAGAGCTGAGGCCGCAGCTGGATTCACTCCGCCCAGCGCAAGAGCGATCCGAGGAAGAGAAGAGTCGGCTCGTTGCTTTCCTTCAAGAACGAGACTTGGAGGTAATGCTAGAGCCACGGTTTCTCCTGGATTGGGACACGATTGGCCTTGAAACAAGTCAGATATCTAAACTGCTGTCAATTTAAATTCTGTATTTATAGATAAAGCAACTGAGAGAAACGCTTGAGTGGGAGCATGCAGAGAAGGAGGTTCTTCTGTCGGAACTGCGTGGTTCTGCTCAGAGCTCTGCAGACGAGTCTGAAAAGCTGAACTCCACCATAACGTCTGTGAGTGCAGAAAGAGACCAGCTGAGAATGCAGCTGCAGACACTTGTGGACAAGGTGACTCTTTTACATTAAAACCTCTTAAAATATCTCATTAGTGTATTTCATGTTTATTTTTTTTGACCAAGGGGTAACTCCAGCTGCTAAAAGCAAAGCTAACTCGGAAGGGACAAAAATGCAGCCCCCCCCCCCCCTCATCCATTAGAGGCTGGTTCCAGAAAGGAGCAAGTTCCCTTTGACTCCCATGTTAAAGAAGCAGAAATAAGCATGTTTACAGCCTGGTTCAAAAAACATTTTAGGTTTATTAGGTCAAGTCTACAGCCATGACAACATGACTTTTGTATCTCATCTGTTGTCATTAAAGCTTAAAATGATTAATAACTAGGATGTATCTATTCATTGACAGGTAGCTCAGTGCTAGCATTAGCAGCTTGCCCTCCTACTTGCCCAAGCGAAGGCATCAGTCTCGAGCTCACGTTAAAAGTGTTGCGGCCTAAAAGGCAGCGAGTAGCAGAGTCACTCAACCTCACTTTTCTGGCTGGCTACAAGCACCCATTAGCCTCCATTGGCTTCAGTTAGCTCGTAGCTACATCGGCGCAGAGTTTGTTGGGTGTCAATCGTCAGCTCCCACCCTCACAGCCCCGCTCTCGGCTCCATTTCTGTGTTTTCCTGGGAGTGACGAGATGCGTAACGCTTTCAAGATGGTGGTGGTGGTGGTGGTACCCGCCCATTCAGCTCTTCGGAAACCTGCGGGTGACTGAGTGGAGGCTTTGTCCATGACACAAACAGTAAACTGTTTTGACATTTCTTATTTTAGGCCACAGAGACGGACGTTCTGCTGCAGTCTCTCCAACAAGAGCTCAAAGAACAGAAGCAGAAGATCTTTGATCTGATGAGAACGTCTGAGCAGAAGGAGTGTGAATTACAGGAGCATGTGAGTCGAATGTTGATGAAGCCGCTCACAAACGAACACTCGTGGTCAGCATCCTGACTTCTTATCTGGTTTTTATGTCCTCAGATATCAAAGCTATCCCAGGAGCTCCAGGGAACACGCGATGAAAACCGGGCTCTGCAGGAGAGCGCCGCAGAGGAGGCGGAGAAGCTGCTCTCTGCAGTGGCTGCTCTCACGGCAGAAAGAGATGAGCTCAAAAACGACCTGCGGGGAAACATAGATATGGTGAGTTTTACATTTTAAAATGTTAAATCAAATCAAACTTAGCTTATGTAGCACTTTTCATGCATAGCATGCAGCCCAAAGTGCTTAACAGATTAAAATGACCCATGTAACCCACATTCCCTCCCTTTCCCACACTTAAAACAATTGTGACAGTTTCACCCCCAATCCACAAACTATTGCCAGGTACACACACGCACACACACTTAAACACACACACGTACACATAACACATTAAAAGACCACAGTAAACACTAAGTTGAGCTCACATTGGACAGGTAATGAAAGACACACCATCAAGGGAGCCATCTGCCTCAACAGCAGCAGATTAACAGCATCGGCCAAGACACCAATCCAGGGCGCCCTGGGAGGGTGGCAACCCCACCACTACCTGGGTACTACCCTAGGGGCGCCCCAGCCGCTGCCACCGACCACTGGTCCCGAGGCAGAGGGCTCCCCAGAGGAAATGCTGGAAGGATTAAAATATGTGACATGTATAATAACACAAGCTAAAATGGATGATGTAAGTAAAACAAGCAATGCAATAAATAGTAATCAGTTAAAAGCTAAACTAAAAAGGTGGGTCTTGAGCCTGTTCTTAAAAACATGAACGTTCTCTGCGGCCCTGAGATCCTCCAGCAGCCCGTTTCAGAGGCCAGGGCCGTAATAACTAAAAGACGCCTCACCGTGAGTGCGAGTCCTGACTTTAGGAATGACAAGGAGACAGCTGCCAGAGGAGCGCAGGGACCACGAGGGTTCATATGGTAAAAGCAGTTCTGAAAGATAAGAAGGCCCGAGACCATTAAGACACTTAAAAACCATTAAGAGTATCTTAAAATCGATCCTGAAACATACGGGGAGCCAATGCAGTGATAAACCGGAGTGATGGGCTCCAGCTTCCTGGTCTTCGTCAGGACACGAGCTGCTGTGTTTTGTAAAAGTTGTAGACCTGAGGTGCTCTTTTTGGGAAGAGCAGAAAGCAGGGCATTGCAGTAGTCTATCCTACTGGTGATGAAAGCATGCATCAGCATCTCCGTATTGGCCCGAGAGAGAATGGGGCGGACTCTGGCGATGTTGTTGATGATAAAAACCTATTTTAGTGATATTTTTAATGTGGGGGATAAAAGTCAGCTCAGAGTTGAAAATCACGCCCAGGTTCTTCACTTGTGAAGATGGATTAAAATACATTGATTGTAGTTTTGGTAAAAGTTTCTCTCTCTGGGCCTCGGGACTGATGACTAAAACTTCAGTTTTGTCCTGGTTGAGCTGGAGAAAGTTTTCTACCATCCAGGATTTGATGTTTAAAATGCAGTTTAAAAGTGCATCCATTGGCTGTGTGTCAATAGGAGACAGATGTACAGCTGGGTATCATCAGCGTAACTGTGGAAAATCAGTTACGCTGATGATACCCAGCATGTAGAGATTAAAAAGCACTGGGCCTAAAACTGAACCCTGAGGCACACCACATGTAATCCCATGGACCCTAGAGGAACAGGTATCCAAACTCACCATAAAAGTCCTGTCTGAGGTAGGAAGTGAACCATCTGTGTACAGCACCTGAGAGGCCGGTCTGTTTTAAGCGGGTTAAAAGAATGGTTTGATCCACTGTCGCAAAGGCAGCGCTTAGATCCAGTAGAACCAACACCATCGCCCTCCGGGCATCATAATTTATCCTAAAATCATTTAAAATCTTCAGAAGGGCCGTCTGGGTATTGTGGTTCACCCTAAAACCAGACTGAAATTTCTCTAGGACATCATTAGTGTTAATAAAATCATTAAGCTGATTGAACACAAGCTTTTCTAAAATTTTGCTTAAAAATGGCAAGTTGGACACCGGTTGGAAGTTGTTTAAATCGTTAAAATCTAAATTGCTCTTCAACAGGGGTCTCGCCACCGCCCGTTTAAAAGCAGCAGGAAAGACCCCCCCCCCCCCCATCTGAAGCGAGCAATTCATCAGAATTGAAACATCATCTTGGGACAGCAGTAGCTCAGGTGGTAGAGCGGGTTGCCTCATGATCGGAGGGTCATGGGTTCGATTCCAGCTCCCACCAGGGGTATCCTGCTGTTGTGTCCTTGGGCAAGACACTTCGCCCATCTTGCCTGTGTTAGTGGTGGTCGGAGGGGCCGACGGCGCCAAATGGCAGCCTCGCCTCTGTCAGACCTCCCCAGGGCGGCTGTGGCTACAAGTAGCCTACCATCACTAGCAGTGTGTGAATGTGAGTGTGTGAAAGCGTCTTTGGGTGTCTAGAAAAGTGCTATATAAGTTCAATTATTATCTTTCAAAGAGTCATAAAATTGTTTAAAAAAAAAAAACCTTGTGGGAATAGGGTCCAGAACACATGTGGTGGGTCTCACTGAGGAGAAAACTTTGTCAAGAATCTCCGCTTCAACCAAGACAACACTGTCCAGTGTTTCCTCCGGTAGACACGCTCTCAGACTGATCTGATGCAGTGTTGCTTTGGGAGGATAAAATGTTCCATCTGATGGTGTCTACCTTCCCTCTGAAGTGGGCTGCAAACTCCTCGCAAAGAGTGTCTGAGGGGGTTTTCTTGGAAGAATTAAAATCCCTATTTAAAATATTAGCAACTGTGGAAAAAAGTACTTTATTAGAAATCTGCCGTTTGTCGCCGCAGCAGTTAACATGAGCGATCTGTCTGACAGATGATTGAAAATCAGGAGGAGTTGAGGGCGGCTTTGGAGAAAAACCAGGACCAAAGGAAGAAGATCAAACTCCTGGAATCTGAAAAGGCACGGAATGAACCTCCTCCTGATTTTAATTCACAGCTAGAGGAGCTGCAGGGAAAGGTAAGCCTGCATTTGTGGCACACCTGCTGACAACACAAGAACTGTAGGAGAAACTTTCCCCAAAAACATGCAGACCTGGGTGCAGGAGCACCATATAAACACCTCTACAAACTCAGTCAATTCTTGCACTTTCTGACAGATTAAGACTCTAACTGAGGAGCTTGAGCCTGTGCTAGCGGAGAGAGACGCACTGATGCTAGAGAAGGAGTCCAACCGTCAGACGGAGGAGATGGAGAAGCTGCTGAGCAGAGTTTCGTCCCTCAGCCAGGAGAGAGATCAGCTGCAGGAGGCGCTGGAAGGGCAGAGAGAGGAGAAGAAGCGGCTCAGAGAAGAGCTGGAGGACCGGATACAGACGGTAAAAACTTAACCTTCAGATCCGTCCAGCACCTCGTCGTAGATGAGACGGATTCGCAGCAGAGTAAATGTGAGATGAAAACAAAAGACCCATAACAGCCGAGTCACGTGAAACATAAACATAGATTGGATGTAGCACAGCTGGATTAGATCTCCTGGTGTTCGTGACGTCTCTCTGCATTTGCAGCAGGAAGAGACTAGGGACTTGTTTGGGAAGTTTCCAGCTCTCCTGGATGAACACTTCCTTAAAGAGCAAGTCACCCCCTACCAGATTACTCAACTCCCACTTCCTGTTTAAAAAAATGCAACAAATGCTGTTGCCTAGCGGAATGAGAGGGTGGAGCCGCTAACAAATACACACACTTACGACAAAGTGACATCATAATGTACCATCTAACATCATAGTGTACCTCTTAGCCAATAGCGATGGCAGATTTAAATTCAAATGCAGTGCTGACGACGGTGCATCACTGACAGTTTTAGGCAGAATATTTAAATTTTAACTAAGATGCACTAAAGTGCCGGATTATTGACTACTCGTGTCTACAGCACGATCAGACACTCATTTATATAGTTTATCAGCTAAAAAAAATGTTGATTTGGAGTGACTTGCTCTTTAAAGCAGAAATCTGGAGTTATTTGTTAGATGGCACCATCTAGAGGTGAAAAACTAAATTGCACCATAATCCCCTCTCCCTACCTCTGTGATTACAGCTGGAAGCAATGCCTCTCATTGATAAACACACACCTCTAGCTGGGAAGCGGAGCTAAAACAACGTTCTACAGTTATTATCCTCGCATTGTCTGTTTATTCCTAAATATATATTTTAAAGACTTACTAGTCAATAAGACATGTTGCCAACTCTGCATCTGTCTAGGTACGTCCTCAAACGTTCACACACACACACACACACACACACACTCTGACATCTGAACGTAACGCTGTTGGCTAATTCTGAAAGGCGGGATGGGCTTGGCAGATACGGAGACGTTTTGCATTAAGACTTCTCCGTCTCCTGGGGAGTCTTGCAAAGCAATTCCCCGCCAGAACAACAGAGGGCGTAGCGTTGTTCTGGGATATCCTGTCATGTATCCAGGGTCCGAAATAAAATGTTTGACTCACCGGCCAAGTTGGCTGGTAGGTGATGAAAATCTACCGGCCAAGCATATTTTTTACCGGCCAAAATTCTAAATGATTTAGATCTACCTAAAGCATGTAATTCTATATTAGGTTGATTCCAAACAGAGGAGAGACAAAATAATTAAAAACATCAATTAATAAGAAAAACAACAGTTTTGTCATTTTATTATTTATTTATTTTTTAGAGATGTTTTTATGAACTCTTTCATTGAAATCTAGTCGGACTCCTTGTTTTCTCTGACATAGCCATTAGCGCTGAGACCGTGGGTGTCACCAGTGGAGACTCAGATTGAGCCCGGGACATGGATGTGCAGGCAATATGGCATTTGCTGTTTTCATGTTCTCGAATAGTCTCAAAGCTTCATGGTCTTATTTCCTATGACAAACGAGTTGTTCCAGTTCTTCTCTCGAGCGTGCTGGCGGCAAACGGTGCAGCTCATTTGCGCAGATTCTGCTTCATATTGTAGCCATTGTCTTACGACTCCGCCGTCTCCAGTTCGCCACTTTTCACAAAATCTTCTGGTTGCCACTGGTCCTGGTGGTTTTTCTTCCAGTTTGAGCCTTCTTTTGGAAGGCTGGCTGACTCCAGTTAAAAACCGCCACATTTCACCGCTAGTTTTAACACGAAGCTAACCGCTAGCTTGATAAACTGATTGAATGGGATAGGCGGAAATGACGTTGGATGCGGCGCTCACGTTTCGCATACATTTTTGTACGTTGCATGCAGGCGGGAGGAGTATCACAGAAGATGACTGTAAACATAACTAATTTGGTGCAAACATTTACTCGCCATGTGGCAGATAGAGCTCAAAAATGTACTCGCCAAATGGAGCAATTTGCATGCATTTGGCGAGTGTATATTTCGGACCCTGTATGTAGCGCTGTTGGCTAATTCTGAAAGGCGGGATGGGCTTGGCAGATACGGAGACGTTTTGCATTAAGACTTCTCCGTCTCCTGGGGTGTCTTGCAAAGCAATTCCCCGCCAGAACAACAGAGGGCGTAGCGTTGTTCTGGGATATCCTGTCATGTATCCAGGGTCCGAAATAAAATGTTTGACTCACCGGCCAAGTTGGCTGGTAGGTGATGAAAATCTACCGGCCAAGCATATTTTTTACCGGCCAAAATTCTAAATGATTTAGATCTACCTAAAGCATGTTATTCTATATTAGGTTGATTCCAAACAGAGGAGAGACAAAATAATTAAAAACATCAATTAATAAGAAAAACAACAGTTTTGTCATTTTATTATTTATTTATTTTTTAGAGATGTTTTTATGAACTCTTTCATTGAAATCTAGTCAGACTCCTTGTTTTCTCTGACATAGCCATTAGCGCTGAGACCGTGGGTGTCACCAGTGGAGACTCAGATTGAGCCCGGGACATGGATGTGCAGGCAATATGGCATTTGCTGTTTTCATGTTCTCGAATAGTCTCAAAGCTTCATGGTCTTATTTCCTATGACAAACGAGTTGTTCCAGTTCTTCTCTCGAGCGTGCTGGCGGCAAACGGTGCAGCTCATTTGCGCAGATTCTGCTTCATATTGTAGCCTGTCTTACGACTCCGCCGTCTCCAGTTCACCACTTTTCACAAAATCTTCTGGTTGCCACTGGTCCTGGTGGTTTTTCTTCCAGTTTGAGTTTTCTTTTGGAAGGCTGGCTGACTCCAGTTAAAAACCGCCACATTTCACCGCTAGTTTTAACACGAAGCTAACCGCTAGCTTGATAAACTGATTGAATGGGATAGGCGGAAATGACGTTGGATGCGGCGCTCACGTTTCGCGTACATTTTTGTACGTTGCATGCAGGCGGGAGGAGTATCACAGAAGATGACTGTAAACATAACTAATTTGGTGCAAACATTTACTCGCCATGTGGCAGATAGAGCTCAAAAATGTACTCGCCAAATGGAGCTATTTGCACGCATTTGGCGAGCGTTAATTTCGCACCCTGTATGTAACGCTGTTGGCTAATTCTGAAAGGCGGGATGGGCTTGGCAGATACGGAGACGTTTTGCATCAAGACTTCTCCGTCTCCTGGGGTGTCTTGCAAAGCAATTCCCCGCCAGAACAACAGAGGGCGTAGCGTTGTTCTGGGATATCCTGTCTTGTATCCTTTCCAAAATGGTGCATTTACTTTTTTTTTTTTTTTTCGTATTTCAGTTACGATTTAACACAAATAAATTAGTCTCTCATTCTCCTTCACCTCTTCATGCGCTAGCCACCTCTAAACCCACATTTCCCGTCATTTCCGTCCAAGAATAAAACGCTTGCTGCGTATCTCTTCACTCCTCCAGTCACAGGTGAATAAAACGTTCATATTTTTAGACTTTTTTTTTTTCCGTGAGGTATTAAAGATGCTTCATGTCTGCCGCTACATATCTTCAGTTCTCTTCATGTTTTTGATGGCGCAATTGCCAACAACTCAATATTACAGTGACATGCATTTATCTGCCTATCAACTTACTGAATACGACTCGTCTTCGCTCCTCATCTAGAGTCTTCTGGTGCTGATCGTAACCGGTGTCGGTACAAGATCTGCTCGGGTGCAAGATCGGCTCGGGGTCCGTCGACTGCCGATGACGTCTAAGTAGTTGATTGGCTGAACATGAACCTCACTGAATTACGTAATCACGTAACGTTGTTATCACGTTACGTTGGTCCAGGCAAATCTGTCTATTGGAAAGATGAACAACTTTTACATAGAAATCCATCATTACCTCTTTGAAAATACACTTTTAGCATAGAGCTGCATGTATATTAGGGCTGAACGATTAATTTCATGTGCAATTAAATTGCGATGTGACAAAAGGAGATTTTCTAATCTCAAAGGCTGCAATTTGGCAGCGAGTGGTTAGCGCAATGCTAATATACATGGGAAAACCCATAGGAATGCTAATGCTAATATCGCTGATTACATTCTTACAAATTATGAAATAGAAACGTGCCAAATTATTACATTTGGAGTCTAATAGAAAGTAAAACTACCATCAATCAAATAAGTACAGACAGGTATTTTAGTAAAGCCAGAAAACTTTAAACTCCAGAGTTTTGGCTAGCAGCTATGAGCGTAACTGAACTACTCATGGACAAGACGTCAAAAACTCTAAACACAAAATACTTCAATAAACGGGACACACTTCTTTCCTGCAAATACAATTTCACAGGTGTTGCTAATACCTATGATCCTTCAAGGGATGTGCTCAAAGAGGAGTTCAACATTATGAATAAAATTGTGTTTTATTTTACAAATACCATTATAAACACAAACTTACGTCTTAAGAAACATTATTTTAATAACGAAACTGCTAAATTCTTTCCAACAGTATACATGTGTAGTGTATTTTGTCCGAGTCGATTTGCCGTACTTTGACGTCATCGGCAGTCGAAGGACCCCGAGCCGATCTTGCACCCGAGCAGATCCTGTACCGACACCGGCTACGGCCATGAAACTGAGTAATGGAAGTGAGAACGTGTGAAAAGGGGCTGCAGTACCCACATTTGACCACAGGATGTCACTCTTGCACGTTACACCTAATTTCAGCTGAATGAACTCAATTTATTTCAATCTAATAGAAAATATTCTACTTGAAGTTTTGAAGCTTTTTCAATTTGACTGTTTTTAGTGAAAGTGCAAATAATTTTTGATTGGCTCATTTAAGCCGGTTGCGTGTTAACCCTCTGGGGTCCAGGGTGTAATTTGCCGTTTTTGACTAATTTAGAGTTTTCCTTTGTATTTCCAAAATAAAAGCCATAACCACTGCCTTATGTGGCATCAATCTTTTCAGCACAGCCTGGACTTCATGAATGTATACTTATTTTTTACATTTGGACATAAAGGGGTTGCATATTAGACCTTAAATCACTCAAAAACATAAAATCCGAATTGGATTATTTTACTGTGAAACCAACAAACATTTATGATGAATGTTTTTTATAATTTAAAATGGTAATCTAGACTGTACATTTATAAAAAATATGAATAAATATAGCAAATAACATTTTTTTTTTTTAATATTAGCCCTCTGGGGTCCTGGGTGTAAATCACTTTTTTTGACTCATTTTGGTTTTTCTTTTGTATTTTCTAATAAAAACAATAAATTTTACCTTATGGGGTATCATTATTTTCAGGACAACCTGGACTATCTGACTTTATACTTATTTTATTAATTTGGCAATAATGTGCATGCATTTTGGAGTGGGGAGTGGCTCTGTCTCACGCCGCAGAGATCGAGATCTGACAGCTGCGCGGCGCCGCCCACTCCTCTTGTTGGATCTCCGAGGAGCTGGATCTCTGCCTTCATCCTCTACCTCATCATGACCCAACTCTTCTATGAGGAAGGATGGATCTGCCACATCGTCATCAACATCCTCGCTATTTGCCTCAGACTCCAGCTGCGAGTCTCCGTCCACTTCCTCTGCTTCCAGTTCAAAAAACAGCTGAACTGCCTGTAGGGCTGCAACAACGAATCGATAAATTCGATGAAAATCGATTACTAAAAGCGTTGGCAACGAATTGCGTCATCGATTCGTTGCGTTGCACAACTCTTCCAAAAGCGCCCCCCCCCCACCCTTCCTGCCCGCCGTTGCGCGCAGACCAGAGCAAGTCAGATCAGCGCGAGGGAGAGCCGCAGATCAGCGTGAGGGAGAGCCGGTACCGGCAGATCAGCGCGAGGGAGAGCCGCAGATCAGCGTGAGGGAGAGCCGGTACCGGCAGATCAGCGTGAGGGAGAGCCGCAGATCAGCGCGAGGGAGAGCCGGCAGACTTGCACTGCTGCGAACCGGTTCCGCATTGTCGCGCAGCGATCCAGGCAGCTGCTTCCAGCGCACGGTCCATTCTCAAAGTGGCGCAACCAAAAAACTATAATTAGCACACGATCGTTCATGTCCGCACATATTCTCTATTTTCTGTCTTATCTGTGCCTGAAGCTCGCTACTGTGGAGCTCATCACCTGTGCTGTGGTGATGTCACCTCAGCAGCATCGAAAACGCGCTCTGCGCTTTTCGGTCAGGAGATCCCTTTGATCTGCTCAAAAGTAACTGATGAGGTGAAAAGGTAAGAATCCAGGCAACAGATTTTCTGGAGAATTATGAGGAGATGCAGGAAGATGAGAGACAGACAGGACAGGAAAATAGTTGAATAAAAACAAGAAAACAAAACAAAGTGTTGAAAAGTAAAATGTAGGTAGATTTATCTCCATGACACGTTTTTACCAGTAAAAAACAATAAGTTATACACATGTCATATTTATACATCTGATACAATTCAGATCACCTTCAAAACTCAGTCACACACCCAGGGCCGTTTCAAGACATTTTGGGGGCCAAGGCAAAATGCCCCCCCCCCCCCCCCCCCCCCCCATAACTGGGCTCCCCAGAAGCCTCTGTGTAATTCATGCCCTCTCCAGTAGTGTTAGTTATATGGTGTTTATAAAAGCCCCTCAGACATTACTGACATGTTCTAATATTATCAGATGAAAAACTAAATTATCAGACTTGCTGTCTCATCTGCTGCTTTTCTAAACCTGCTAAAAGTAACAAAACCATTTGAAAGCCACTATTTGTGGATTCTCTGAAAGTTTCCATGGAGTGTGTGACAACTTATTTTTTCATTGATCCTATCGTCTAATCTCACAGCTGAAACAAGCATCCTTAATAATCTGTGCACAGGAAGCTTACCGATGCTGTAGTAAAACAAAAGGTATAATAATTTCTTATTAATAAAACCTTGTTGCAGCACTAAAGCAGAAAAATTAGATTTTGCATTAAATATGCAAAATATTTACATATGAATTGTTTTAGAGCCCTTTAATTGGCAGAATCTGATATTAATTTAGTTCTTACAAAAAATGGGTCCCAACATGGTTTGTGTGGCGTTGCCATAGTGTGACGTCGTAGGCACAGATCCCCTGTCCTCTTGTTTGGAAATGGAAATATGATCACCCTATATTAAACAAACTGTCCACCCGGGCTTTTGCGCTGCACAGAGACGCTTCGCTGCCTACGACTGAATGTCAGTTGAGAGTCAGTCTCATGCAGACTGACCAATGAAGAGAGGGCCTCAAGTTAAGACCCTCTCCTCATTTGTCAGTCCACACGAGGTGGGTCAAAGGTTACTCTGGGCGGGTTACATGTTGTCAGGCATTCAAGTATTGAGTATATTTACTGCATATCACAGTAAAATATTCTGTATGTGACCATATTATGGTGATCCTTGGGTCGTGATGATGGAGCCCTTGAATATTGTTGCCCAGGGTACAACAAAGTGTTAATCTGGCCCTGGTTCCGCCGTCACATTCATGCAGAAACTGGTTGATCACACCGGGGCCAGACTACTAGCATGTGGTTTTACAACCACAATGTCCTCAGAAGCAAAAACGCTTTTAAAAGGGAGGGAGGAGTCCTAACTGTTGCTGCAGGCGTGTTGTGTGAGAGTGCAGTTATATACTGGTTAATATATTTTTGGGTTCAGTTGCTTTCATGTGGCCTAATGTGAGTCTATTTGGGATCATTGGAATGATCAGCAGCATTTCTTGATGTGACTTTATGGCAGTTGCCCAGGGCATCATCGCAAGGAGGATGGCATTCATTTACTTTTGTTTTATTTGGTATTTTCTCAGTCAGTTTTGGAAATGGTGATCAATTTTGATTAATTCACAGCCTATGTTTAATTACATTTAAAATAAATGTTAACAGATGAGATCAAACAAAACAGATGAGAATTGCCCTTAAGCTGTTTAACTTGGACCAAGCATTTTAGGTCACAGATAGATGTAGCTTAGGGTCTCTGTCTATACACCTTATAAGACAATTTAGGTGATGGCATGTTGTTTTTCTGCTATTGAACTGTTTTCTAATAATGTTGTGTTAAATAAAGTGAAGGAAGGAGAGAAATAACGTTTCCCTAGCAATTTTTAAAAATTTCCCCATGTAATCCGATTAATCGATTAATCGTGTCGAGACCCCATCCGATTAATCGATTATCCAAATAATCGTTTGTTGCAGCCCTAACTGCCTGGTGGACATTTATCCTTCTCACCATCCTTTATATAAGCCTAATAAAAGCCTACTAAACTGCAGAGACAACATATCTGCCCGGATCGCTCCAAAATATGAAGTTTACCGTCAATATCTGTCTAACTGTTTGTTGTTACTCCATTCGTGCCACTCCGTTCCCCGCCAAGCGGCTCCTTTTTGCGCACATCTCGTTACTCGTGCGGCCTTCCTCTCTCTCTCAGCTACATGATGATACTTTTTATCAGTTGAATATGTGAGACTTCCAGCAACAGCAAAAGGATCTCATGTTTTTGTGGGTTTTTTATGTTCACAAGCACATTCCCTCTCACGGATTACTAAACTGCTGTTTGACAAGTTATCAGATTGTCTAAAAAAAGGTCGTTTTTTAGTTTAGTTTAACTCCGCTTTTACGTTGCCTATTAACACAATTTAAAAACTGGGGTGTAGTTTATAATCTCCTTTTTAAAGCTGAATTGAAACCGAAACTCAGGGAGGCGGAGTCTTGCTGCTACAGCGTCCCAAATCAGACCTGTTCAAAAGACGCGGATACGCGTCCACGGACCCCAGAGGGTTAATGCCCACGTTCTCTTTGCACAGATGCAGTGTGACTTCCTGCAGCAGCAGCAGCTCACCTCTGAGCCACAGCTGCTGATGGAGATCCAAGAGAATCACCAACTCCAGGTTCAGGCTTTTTATTCTCAACGCTCTGACGGGTTCCTTGTTTTTCTTTGTTTTATCGCTGAACAAGACCGTTTGTGTTTCCCTGCTCTGTGCTCCAGATGGATCAGCTGGAGAAGATGTTGGAGAACGCAAAAGAGGAGACGAGTCGGTTAAAGTTTGACCTACAAGACAAAGTCAAGCTAGTGAGTTTCTTTCCTCAACATCAACCCTTTTTACTCCTTTAAGCACAAGTTGTTCAAGATTTGGTTTGGAATTGTTTTAGATTGCTGAGAAACAGGAGAACCTGGACGTGTCTGAGGAGAAGAGCAGAGTCCTGCAGGAGGAGCTCGCAGCTCTGAAGCTTCAGACGGAAGTGCTGGAGAGCAGGAAGAATGAGGCAGAGGGGACAGTCCAGTCTCTCAAGTCCAGAGTCCAAGTAGGAGTCCAGGTTTCTGCTCGGAGAATAAAGGAACGGTGAGAGCAGAACGAAATGGTTAAATTCACCTGTTTGTTTTTTCCAAACTCAGGTGTTGACTGCAGAGGTGGAATCCGTAGGAGTAGAGCGGGACAATCTGCTGTCTGAGAAGGAATCGATCAGTCGGAGTCACTTGGAGGAGATGGAGAAGCTGCGTTTGTCTCTCAGCGAGGAGAACAACCAGCTGCGGGAGGAGCTGGAAGGACTGAGAGAGGAGAAGCAACTCAGAGAAGAGCTGGAGGACCGGGCGGAGATGCTCCAAGCTGAGGTTCATGTTAGAAAGTGTTGCACATGTTGGTCTTTACTTTGGGGCTTTAAACCTGAAGATGTTTACCTCTACTCCCACAGATAGGAGAGCTGAATATAACTCTAAAGACTCTTACTGAGCAGAACCAGCAGCAGCTGGAGAAGGTGAGGCTGGAAGGTCTGCGCTGAAGTTGTGCTCTGGGATCATTTTGGGGGAATCGTCTTTGATGCATGTTTAATGTTTTTAAGGTATCATCAACACAGGAGCTTCTAAAGACCGCCCAAGACGAGCTCTGTGAACAGAGGAGGGTGAAGTCTGATCTGGAGGAACGGATGGAGGAGAAGGAGTCTCGCTTAAGTCTAAAGGTTCATTGGAGCCATGGAAGGCTTTTGTTTTCAGAGCTGAATGATCCTTATAGCTGCTTCCTTCTCCACAGATAAATGATCTGGTGCAGAGTCTGAGGGGCGTTGAAGCTGAGAGGGATGATCTGCTCCGTGAGATGCAGACGAGTCAGCAGACCTTCAAGGAGGAGCTGCAGGAGGCGCTGAGCAGAGTTTCGTCTCTCGGCGAGGAGCGGGCTCAGCTGCAGGAGGCGCTGGAAGGCTTGAGGGAGGAGAAGCAACTCAGAGAAGAGCTGGAGGACCGGGCGGAGATGCTCCAAGCTGAGGTTCGTGTTAGAAAGTGTTGCACATGTTGGTCTTTACTTTGGGGCTTTAAACCTGAAGATGTTTACCTCTACTCCCACAGATAGGAGAGCTGAATATAACTCTAAAGACTCTTACTGAGCAGAACCAGCAGCAGCTGGAGAAGGTGAGGCTGGAAGGTCTGCGCTGAAGTTGTGCTCTGGGATCATTTTGGGGGAATCGTCTTTGATGCATGTTTAATGTTTTTAAGGTATCATCAACACAGGAGCTTCTAAAGACCGCCCAAGACGAGCTCTGTGAACAGAGGAGGGTGAAGTCTGATCTGGAGGAACGGATGGAGGAGAAGGAGTCTCGCTTAAGTCTAAAGGTTCATTGGAGCCATGGAAGGCTTTTGTTTTCAGAGCTGAATGATCCTTATAGCTGCTTCCTCCTCCACAGATAAATGATCTGGTGCAGAGTCTGAGGGGCGTTGAAGCTGAGAGGGATGATCTGCTCCGTGAGATGCAGACGAGTCAGCAGACCTTCAAGGAGGAGCTGCAGGAGGCGCTGAGCAGAGTTTCGTCTCTCGGCGAGGAGCGGGCTCGGCTGCAGGAGGCGCTGGAAGGCTCGAGGGAGGAGAAGAGGCAGCTCGGAGAGGAGCTGGAGGACAGGACACGCATGGTTGGTTATGTTTACCTAACATGGTCACTAATTATCTGAATGAAGATTTGATTTGACCTCAAAGCAACCCTCTAAATGACTCCTTCATCCGTCTGATTCCAGATGTCGGCCGTTCAGGAAAAGCTCAGCCAGCAGGAGGAGTGGAGCCTGCAGCTTCAAGAACGAGACGCTGAGCTGAAACGTGAAGTAGGTTCAAATAATTAACAGAACATTTTAAAATCTCCGCCTCCATATTTGCTGTAGGTGTCCTGCTCAGAGGCACAAACGATGAAATCTTCCTTATTTATCAGGTGCAGCACCTCGAGGAGGAGCTGCAAACGCAAACGGAGCAACAAGCACGCGCTAAAGCTGAAGCCGACGCCTCTCAGCTGGTTTGTAAACAAACTTTTTATCAAAGAAGCCTAAAAATCAGCTTCTGTACAAAATGTTTCTGCAACATCATCGAGTTGGATTCTCTAGAAATGCATCTCTTCTGTAATAAAACCGTCACGCGATTTGAAAGCTGCTTCGTGCACACAGATGCGTGTTTTGCATTAAAATAAGATGTATATATTATAATTGTCTTTCTAACATAAAACATTGTAATGTTTACCTTCTTGTTTCAGATGCTTACTGAAGCTAAAGCCACCATCTCGACCCTGAAACAGCGACTTGACGGCTTGGAGCAGAACGCCGAAGGAGTTGAGGTGATCTCGTCACAGCTGCAGGACTCCTCTTCTCAGCTTCAGGTAACAGGAACCGCCTCGGGAAGCGGCAGCAGCTCAGAGGAACAGCTGGACCAGAAGACTAATCCTGGTGGAAATGTTCTTCCAGGAGTGCTTTGGAAGATTCCAAGAATTGAAAGACACCATCTCCAAATACAAGTCGCCGGACAAGGCTCTGAGGAGACAACGCTCTCTGATGAACGCGTTGCTGAGCTCTCTGCCTAGAGCCACTGTGGCTTCCTACGGTGCCGTTCATCAGCTGGGGATGCAGACAGTACAGAGCTTCCTAGACATTCGGGTTAGTATTGAACGCATTTCCTGACCGAGATTAGGTTTAATCCGTAACGAACGAAAATAATTTTCCTTAGATGAGACTCCACCTGCAAGCAGTCGACTGCAAGAGGCTGTTTGAGGAGTTGGTGAGGAAAGACCTGGCCATTTTCGAGGAGAAGAGAGTGCAGGACCTGCTGCTGTCCAGAGCAGAAGCCCCCCCGCACGCCATCGGGGACGTGGACTTCCGCTCGCTTTGGGGACCGAGACTCTCCGAGTTGCTGGACAAACGGCGGCTTCACCTGCAGGTGAGCTGGAAGGCGATGCAGGACACGCACCTGATGGAGTGGAAATGTAGCTTTACTCGTCATAACTGCTGCAGCTTTATTACCGCTGATGTTGGTTTGTTGCAGAAGATGCAAAGCATCGCGGAGAAGCTCCAGAGCAACACGGCCGCTCATGTCGACAATGAAAGAGCTGAGATCTGTGAGGAAGAGAAGTTCACGGAGCAGCTAGAGGGGGCGATTAGCAGCCAGCCTATCAGCTTCCCTAACCTGGACTGCGTTCTGAGCCAAGAGGCGGGCCGCAGATCTGCAACCGTCCAAACGAGCAGGCTGTCTCTACAGGTGGGCTTTAACCACCTTTTTGTTTCAGTAATCCTTTAAAATCTGGGCAAAGTCTTCTAATCGAGAATTTTGGTGCAGATTTCCTTCTAACGGTGTCTGACTCGTCTCCTCTGCCTCCCGCAGCTCCTCGTAAGCGAGCAGAACAACCTGTTGGATGAGCTGAAGCAGCTGGAGGTGGAAGGAGAATCTCAGCTCAGAGAAGAGAAAAGCAAAAGTGCCACTCTGCTGCGAGCGCTGGAAGGAGCTCCTCTGAAGAAGGAGGTCTCACTGCTGAGGGACAACCAGCAGCTCGTCCTCCAGCTCCAGCGGGCTGAAGAAACCATCAAGGTGAGCCACTTTTTAGATAAGTGACCAACGCCTGTCGATCCTGAGATGAAGGAGTTCCTGAAGAGACCTCATTTTCCCCAGATGCTGCATGTACAGAAGGAAGAGCTGGAGGAAATTCGGATGGAAGCCAACCACAGCGTGTCCCAGCACAAGGAGGCCACTCAGCTCCTGCAGACGGAGCTGCAGGACAGCCGCGCCCTCGTCCAGGAGAAGGACGACACCATCCAAACCCTGAAGAACAAACTACGAGCGTCTGAAGTGAGTGGCGTTTGTTGATCTTCTTCCTTCCACTGAGCTACTTTTAATAGAAATGTTTCCCTCTTTGATTTAGACAAACGCACCGCCCAGCGCAGCCGAGCAGGAAAGACTCCGCCACAAGGTGTTCCAAATGGAGCTGAAGCTTAACTTGGCATCAGATCAACACAAACTCGAGTAAGAGCCCCTGTGGTCTTTGCTTTTGCTCCGAATGTTTGTGTCCTAAGATGATCCTCCTCACTAAACAAAAATAAACATCAGGAAACCTAAGCAGCATTTCCTCTTATAGGATCCAGAGGATGAACACCGTGTTGAGGGAGAAGGAGGCGTCGCTGCGGAGTTTGAAGGAGGCTCTGAGGAAATTGCAGCAGCAGGGAGAGGAGCCTGGTAAGTGCGTGATTGGTTAGATGCAGCAAGTTCTGCATCGGTTGAGTCTCAGAAATGTCACGGCTGAGCTCTAAAGATGACTGAAACTCGTCACCTACCGGTGCTGGTGATGTGTCACACATCTGGTGTCTGAAGGAGGGCCAGCTCCACTCCGCCCAGATACGGTAGGAAGTGTTCACGTCCGTTTTTTCAGCCCTCTTCCCAAGGCGGTCTGCTTTGGGCTGAATGATCCAACACACCCACTGTCGACTGATTAGCCTACCATTAGGGGGAGTCTCCGATTGGAGGATAGAAACAGCCAGAGGGGACTTCCTGCATGTGTGATTCATTATTCTGGATACTGAGGAATAAATATCACATCTGACTGACGACACGCACACACACAATGCAATATCGGAGTCGGTCTCCACAAGCAACACTGCCCACGAACGCTCTTTTGTTCATTTTAATGGAGACACCACGGACTTTTCCACACGTCTTTTGCCCCGCCCACATACTTGGAGACCGAGAGACCATCTAAAGGCTCAGGAACCCGTTGTAGGTGTTTTGGATTCATTAGCTGATTGGTGTGACACTTTGAGTCTAGATTATTGAACCTTTTCACCATATTCTAATGATCTGAAATCTTGAATTTGGCGTTTTCATGAGCTGTAAGTAGTAATCATCACATGTGTAATAAAGGCTGTAGTATCTGGCATGTGACGAGTATTCCGTGTGTTTTTTTAACTTTTAAGTTGAATTACTGACATAAATAAACGTTTGCATCATATTCTGAATTTTTGAGTTTCACAAATATCTTGATGCACTTAAAGTTCAAATAAAGGTTTGGAAAGAGCTATTTGTAAAGTGGCCACACCCCTTTTTCATTCTGAGGGCGTACGGTCTTAAATGTTATCAAAACGGCCTAAAAAGCCTTCTGAGGACAACGTTTATGCCGTTTTTTTTTTTTTTTGTTTTGTTTGTTTTTCCTCAGTTCTGCAGGGTAAGGAACTTTATGCTAGACTCACCAATCCCAGAGAAGTAGTGATCGAGAGCAGCATCGCACTGGAGAAGACCAAGCTGGAAGAGAAGGTCCAGCAGCTTCAGCTGAAAATTACAGAACTCGAGAGGTAAAATTGACTTTGTTTTTTGTTTTTTTGTTTTTTTTCCTCTAAAATTTTGAGATGGCTACTGACCTCTGCTCCCGTCTCACCAGCGTCGGGTTGGGTCAGAAGGCGGAGATCAGCAAGTGGAAGAGTCGAGCCATCAAGCTGAAAAGGAAGAGCAAAGCCGAGGTAGACAGGACACCGCCCAGCAGTCCCACCAAGAGGGGTTACACTTTCTCTTCAGATTCTGACCACCACCTCAACTCGCCCAAGAACAAAATCCTAGTGACTCCTAAAAATGTTCTGGAGTCTCCCCAAAAGCCGCTGGACTCTCCAAATATGTCCCTGCTTGATACCCCTAAAAACAAGTTCCTTGACATGGCTGGAGGCTCAGACCTGCTGTCCAGCGGCTTTCCCAAAGAGTTCTTTGATAACTCGAGCCTCGGAGCCTTTGCAGGTGAGCCCCACGCTTCAGCGGTCAGAGCAGCAGAATATTCCTGACGGTTTAACCTAATCTGACTCTTGTTCTCTGCAGATAAAGATGGCCCAAAGGAGGTGAGCTGGCCTTGGTCTCCCAAAGAGGAGGAGATGTGCAAAACGCAATAAGATTTTGAAATGTGCAATGTTTTTCCCTCCACTGTCTTTTTTGTTGTTTTAACCAGAAAATTAATAAAGTTTCACCCTTCAGTTCCTAACGTGGTCGGGTTTAATTGAAATCTCTTCGATGCAGAAAACCATCTTTGGCAACGCGACCGTTTCACTAGATGTTTACGAGAGAATGAAAGGAACAGATGTGGAATGTGTTTTTCTCCTACAGCTGCAGGACCAGAACTTTTTCTTAAAGAGCAAGTCACTCCAAATTGACTTTTTATTTATTTATTTTTATTTATTTTTTTGCTGATAAACTGTATAAATGAGTGTCTGATGGTGCTGCAGACACGTGTAGTCAATAATTCAGCACTTTAGTGCATCTTAGTTAAAATTTTAATTTTCTGCCCAAAACTGTCAGTGCTGCACCGTCGTCAGGTAAAAACTCAGCACTGCATTTGAATTTAAATCCGCTGTCGCTATTGGCTAAGAGGTATCCTATGATGACAGATGGTACAGTATGATGTCACAATGTCGTGAGTGTGTGTATTTGTTAGCGGCTCCACCCTCTCGGTCTGCTAGGCAACAGCGTTTGTTGCATTTTTCAAACAGGAAGTGGGAGTTGAGTAAGAATCTGGTAGGGGGTGACTTGCTCTTTAATGGAATGCAACCCCTCAAGCTTTTTTTTTTTTTTAATTAATCAGTCCAAATCCATATCAGCAGTGAAACGGGCAAATTAAGGGAGTGATTAGCAGTCGGGTGCTGTTGATTTTATGCACAAATGAAACTGATGATTGGCCATTGCTTTTTCTTTAATGCATGGCCAACAGAGACCAGATGTAAAGGAAAAGTCCTTGCTTCCAGGAAAACTTTACAGGTAGCTGCCAGTGGCCTCAGGAGTGGACATTCCTGCATGAAAATGGAGACATTCTCTAACAAAGTCCTGGATGATCTATGGGATGGAGACTGCATCAGAATAAATAAAATGGGGAAAGAATATTTAAAAGAAGCCAAAAAGCTCGTTTTAATAAGCGGAAACCTAAAAGTGACCTCATAAATCAACAATGTTCTTAAATAAAGAGCTGCAGCTTCCTGACTTTGAATAATTACTTCATGATCTGCATCCTCTCTCATCCTTTGTGTTTTGTCATGAATTCAGCCAACAGAGAGGGGCTCGTTAATCATTTCAGCAGCACTGCTCTCTCAACAGAAAGCCTTTTGTGAGACCGCAGAAGGGCCTGCGGCTTTAAAAGACGCTCATGTGTGTAATAATTATATTTAACCTAACAAAATGATTAATTTGGAGTTCCTTCAGTGGGCTCAAGTAGTCAAATTAGGTCTGAGCTGTCTGTTTTTCTCTTGCAGTAAGGTGTTTTGTTCAGTAGAGGGCAGCAGAGCTGCATCCATGCTTGAATATGCTCTGCAGCGAGGTGCAAGAGTTGTGAAATGTGCAGAGTTTATGCAATTTTACTCGGGAAAAGAACAGAAAAAATCTTCTCGCAGATCAAATAAATCAGAAATGAGTAGCTTGTTTTCTATTGTTGCTCAGCTCAGTGGCCTAGTGGTAGAGCGTCCGCCCTGAGACTGGGAGATCAGGGTTCGATTCCTGGTCGGGTCATACCAAAGACTTTGAAAAAATGGGACCCAATGCCTCCCTGCTTGACACTCAGCATTAAGGGGTTGGATTGGGGGGTTAAACCACCAAATGGTTCCCGAGCCGTGCTCACCCATCCCCCAGGGGATGGGTCAAATGCGGAGAACAAATTTCGCACACACATCAGTGTGTGTGACAACTAATGGGACTTTAACTTTATTTCTGCAGCTTTGGTACTTAAACAGAGGTGTTCTGAGCACAAAAAACACCAAAGAGTGGGTTTTTGTTGTTCATAAATAGTAAGAATAAAAACAAGTGGTTTAGTCTGCCATGAGGAGTAGAGCTGAGATAAACTGACTGAAGGGGAGAATGTGGAGCAGCAGATAGGAGGCGTAGACACAGGGCCTTTCATCCAGCCACAAAGCCAACCTTTCATGTGTGGAATTTCTCAGTCATTAATAATACATCCAGCTGTGTGCAGCTCCGTCCAGTTGGAGGTCAAAGTTCACGGTGGTCGTCATCCCAGAGAAGAGTCTGATGCTCTCACTTCCTCATAATGAGCAGTGCCATAAGAGAGTGGATTTGTTTAATGCTCTGCAGCTTGGAGGCTGCAGCTGTGAAATTCTCAGATTATGAGCATTTGTGTGTGCATGTTATTTTGGACAAGTGTGTGTGTGTGTGTGTGTGTGTGTGTGGCTGGGCATTGTGGCCAAATAGGCTGAATCCCAAATCAACGCTGCCGATTCAATCGGGGCAATTCATCAGTTAAAATAAGACACAACTAAAGTATGTGACCGCACACTTCCCCTTTCTCTCAGTCAGCTGCTGAGATATTGGAAACTGAGATTTCATTCACAAAAGGATGACACAAGATGGACATCTTGCCCTTTAATAATTGCGATATTTATTCCACTTTCTAATACATCTTCTAACTTCTTTTTAATTTGTCCTTTTTTAAGTTGAGTTCAGATAATTACTTTGACATTTTGGGGCTCGCTCTGTGAGTAAATCAAGCTGAGCAGTCAAGCGATGAAAGAGCATAAAGATTTGTAGATATTTTATCCATCTGCACTTTGAAGATAGTTCATAAGCTCGCGATTATGAATCTGTTAGCATAGAAGCAGTTGAGGTTTAGCTGCTCTATCAAATTTTGACCAAAAACACGTGCAATTGTGAAATGTTGCAAGATTTTGTATGATTTGTTAGCATTTGGAGAATGTGCTGTGAAAAACTGTATCTGTGAAGATGCCAAATCTGGTATTTAATCTCTGCAGTGGTTTATAACGGGTGTGTAACGCTTTGTACGAGTTTGGACCAGATCTTAAAGAGCAAGTTACCCTCAAATCAACTTTTTTTTGTTGACAAACTATATAAATGAGTGTCTAATTTCTCTGTAGACACGTTCAGTCAATAATTTGGCAATTTAGTGCATCTTAGTTAAAATTTAAATAATCTGCCTATAATAATGCACCGTCGTCAGGCAAACACTCAGCACTGCATTTGAATTTAAATCTGCCATCGCTATTGGCTAAGAGGTACACTATGGCTGTGTCTCAATTCGGGGTCTGCATCCTTCGTCGGCCGGTTACGTCACAGCGCCGCGACCAGGCCTGTCCCAATTCGAAGACTCCTTCAAATGCGGTCGATGAATTCGGCCTTCTTTTCGCTTGAATGAAGGATGGGTCCGGTGTATCCTTCAATGGTTTACATTTCCCAAGATGCCTTGCGGGCCGGACGGTAGAACTTTTAAAAACAATGGCAGACAGTGAAGCGGGAGCTGTCGGAGAGGATTGCGCATATAAATGTCAGTATAAACTTGAAAACTGTTAGGTTAAGGACTTTTTGTGATACATGAACGTTATTTTAGTTAGAAATGTTACAGTAAAAGTGCTTGTATTGCGGTCTCGGCTCGTATGTTCGGCCGCTCGGTGTCGTACTTCTCCCGCTACGTTTCCCCCTGATTTGAATAGAAGTTTGTATTTTAGGGACAAAAGAGAAAACCAGGGAATTTATTAAGCTTAGGGCGGAGATGGACCACATGATCACCGGAGCAAAGTATTCGGCGGCTGTGGCATGGAGGTACAATAACATCTCATATTTTAAAAACTCGTTTGAGTTTAGTTTTTTCTGCGAAAACATGAAAGGAATAACCCGTTGTCCTCTTTTCTCTTCCTGTTTCTTTTCTTACATGTTTGTTAAGACTATTCTGGAGAAAATGGGCATCCAGGGGAAGGTGACCGCGATGACCAGCTTCTGGAGCTGATCAGGGAGGACATGAGGCTGCAGAGGGAGGCAGAGCAGCAGAGGGTGCAGGAGAGAAGGAAGAACTTTGACAGCTTTTTACTTTGCTAGAAAAAAATGGTTAATAAAGATTAAACATGTACATATAAAAGAAATGTCTAAATAAAATGAGTTCTCTATTAAACTGTTGAATTTTATTTTTGTTTACAAATGAGAATTGTTTAATATTACAGAGTATCCGCTGGGTCTTGAAAAGTCTTAAAAGGTGATAAATCGGTTTTGGTCAAATTAAGACCCTTAGAAAGTATTAAAAACTATTATCACATCTTTGCTCAGGCTCAGCTTGCCGAAAGTATTTTCTCTGAATTAGCTCTCCGACAGTCAAGGAAATGATTAAAAAGCTAAATAAAACTTCGAGCTCCATCGTTTAAAGTTCCTTCTCCCTTCTGCTCAGCGGTTCCACGGTTGCTAGGCGATGGAACGTTCGCCGAGGGAGTGGCGGGAATTCATGAAGGCTAGGCCTGTCCAAATTCACAGCCGTTAACATCTGGTCTACTCGGCTGACTGAGGACCCAGCCCACGTCGGGCGAGTAGGCTGGGTCCTTCGAAGGATGCAGACCCTGAATTGAGACACAGCCTATGATGTTAGATGGTACATTATGATGTCACAATGTTGTGAGTGTGTGTATTTGTTAGTGGCTCCGCCCTCTCGGTCTGCTAGGCAACAGCATTTGTTGCATTTTTCGAACAGGAAGTGGGAGATGAGTAAGAATCTGGCAGGGGGTGACTTGCTCTTTAAAGGCCAGTCTTTGTGGAAGTATCGTGAGTGTTTGGGTCAACATGCGGCCACTCGGGCCGTCAAACAGGTGAATGAACCTCACTGATCACCACTCAGCTAAGACTGGCTAAGTTTAGAAGGGAATTCAGGATGAGAAGATCAACTTACCCACTCTCTTTCTCTCTTACACACACACTCACACACACACACACACACACACACAATCAGAAACATGTTCATAGACTGAAGCACTTTCTTTCATTTCAGCAAATAGTAAACTGTAGTTTTAGTTTAAATTCTCTTAGACTTGCACCGGCCCGTCGGCAGAATGTCACTTTCACTTCATCTTTCCTGCATCCTCATTTCACTTCCTTCAAAGGAACGAGTGAGACAGCCGTCCAGACAGACACCCCGCATGCCCCGCCTCCATCCTGACAAGATATAAACAGGACACCTGCAAAAAGCAAATGTGTGTGTGTGCGCGCGCGCATGTC